TCATTGATGTGCTTCAAGATTTTATTCTTTAAAACTTTTTCAAATTATTTGAACGCAACAGAGGTAAGTGAAATAGGGCAATAGTTTTCAGGAAGTAGTTTTTCTCCTTTTTTTTTATAGATCGGACTAATATTTGCTGATTTCCAGAGAGTTGGTACTATTCCAGAATTAAAAGATTCATATAAAATTTTTGTAAGCGGAATTGCGAAGCTTTTGGCACATATCTTGAGTATTAAAGGGCGCAACCCGTCAGGTCCAAAAGATTTGTAAGGGTTTAGATTGGTAAGTTCATTAATAATGTCTGCAATAGAGAAATCCAATTTGTTATTATAATTGCATTTAGTTTTAACTTAACTTTTATTTAACAATCGAAAATTTTTGGAGCTTTCAAGAGTAAACAAAGATTTGAATTGAGAGTTCAGAAGTTCAAGTATATCGGGAAGAGTTTCAGTAATTTCACCTGAAGCATTTTTGAGAGAACGAATTTTATTTTTAATTTTTAGTTGGTTGTTAATGTATTTGTTGACGAGTTTTGGGTTGTTCTGAGATTTTGATATTATTTCTTTTTCATGTAATATTTCCGCTTTAACGGAACGATTAAGACAATTGTAAATTTGAGATAATTCATTTAATCGCCAAACCGATTTTTTTTACTCGGATTAAGCTTTTAATATGTAGAGTAACCCAAGGATCATACTTTTTTTTTCTTTTTTTAATCTTGGGGATAAAAAATTCGCAAGCAATACGGTAATAAGAAATTAATAAATTGAACATTTGATCCGCATTTTTGTGTAGAAATAAAATATCACAATCGATTGATGCAATAAAGTTTGATATTGAATTATAATCAGCTTTGTTGTAACTAAAGAATTGAGATTCGTTTTCGGGTAGCGGTTCTAAACTTAGATTCTCCAGGTAATTTGTCTCTTAATGCTATACTAGGTAATAACCCTTAGTGTTATTACCTAGTATAGCATTAAGAGACAAATTTAAAATAGAACTATTATAGTAGGTAGATAATAAGTCCAAAATATCTTTTAGGGAACCATAGGATGTCTAAAAAGTAGGAAACGTGATGTGTTGTGTAAAGAGGCTGTTTTGGTAAATATTCCAAAATTCATACTCGTTAGAATTGATTGGATTTAATACCACTTCATATTCGGGAAATTAAAATCACCAACGATCAAACAGTCATCATAGAGCTTATATATTGTATAAATTATATAAAATTTATTTGTAAATACATATATATATTTTTTTATGGTTTAAAAAATTCGTATTTTTCATGATAAATCTTTTAAAGAATGCATGGTTGATTTTAAAAATAACAAGAATGTATTTTCACTAACATCAATATAAGATTTTTCTGTAAGAATGGAATTAGCAAATGTAGGCTATATATATAACATTTTTTTGCTGGACAATGGTTATTTAACACCAATTACAACAATGTAGTAACGTGTACGTTAAAATAATCCAATAAATATATCTCTATATTAATCCAGTTAAAATAAAAAAATACAATACATAAAAATAAATTAGCTGATTTTTCGGAGAAGTGTTTAGATGTTTGACTATAAGTTTATTTACCACATTTCAAACTAATGTTTGTGTATAAATGTGATAAAAACGAAATTTGTGTAAGATTGATAAGAAGAATTACTTGTTAGTAGTTATAGGAAGCTCGCAGAAGACTTAAGTCAGTCTTGTTATCGAGTACCTTTTTTCCGGACGTGTAATACCATAATCATAAAATACATCTGTTATTATGACTTTGGTAATAGACATAAAAATCAGTTGCATACGTGGTATATATGTGTGTTGTAGATATGTTGTACACATGTATGTTTACACATGTATGTTGTACACATGTGTGTACACATGTTGTACATATGTATGTCGTACATTTTTATTATCGATTTGTATTAAAAGTTAAGCTACATTTTTAAAAAAAAATTTTATTAATATTTTGAAAAAATTCCTTATAGTTGTTTAATTTGACCATTGTAGATTTTAGCTTTATTTTCAGAGAGTGTTCGTTGTTGTGTTTTAGCTTTATTTTCAGAGAGTGTTTGTTAATAGTGATTCGTTTCTGGAAACTTATTAGTTAAATAAATAGGGACCACGATATGTAATTGAGAATTTTGAGAGTCTTGTTGTTTCAAACGGTATATTAAAGTTGCCTGTTGCTCTTGTATTGTATTTATTTATATTGTTTTTAAAAAAGCTATATAGGCATGCATCAGGTAGCTGAAAAGTAGACAAGTTTTAGACTTTTTTATGACAAAAATATTCTTGCTTTGTATAGTAGGAGTGACAGTTTATTGGATTTAAACCATATATTAAGTTTATTTAGTTCAGGATTTTTTTTTCAAAAAAGTCTTCGATTGTCTTGTGCTGTGCTAAGTAAAATAAGTTTGTGTCGTCGGCAAACATTATAGTTTTAAAGATATTAGAGGCATTTGGAAGATCGTTTGTATAAATAAGAAATAAAAGAGGAGCAGAAATGGAACCTTGGGGTACACCACATTTTGTTCTCAGTAAACTTGAGTTGCTTTTTTTATCTATAATAACACACTTGTTTGCTGTTATTTAGGTAGAAAAATTTTGTTAAAAAGCCTTTGAAAAAAGGATTTTTTTTTTTTTCATTTTTAGCACAAAAGTTGTAACTAAATTTGGTCATCTTTTCTTGAACTTAATTGACTTACATTTTCCATAACATCATAAGCTACAGAAAATTTTCATTGCATCACAAAATTTTATTGAAGTTAATTTTCAATTTTAAACAACCTTCTTAATTTACTTCCCTTTTCATATAACATACTTAGTATTAAATGTATATGTTTTTAAAAAAATTGTTTTTAAATATCTAAGGGGTTTCATTGGACCCTCCCCCTCCACTATGGATCTACACTAAATTTTGACGTAATAGTACGTTTTGTCATATTTTACGAAATTTATCGTTGAACGCCGCATGCCTTTTTCTTTTTCTTTTTTTTTTTCTTGTGACTCCAATTTTTTTTCCCGCCTTATTTCTAAGATACTAAGTTAAAATGGGCAAAATTGTTAACAAGCAAATAGTTCTAAACATGTAATGAGCTAATAACAAAGGAGTCCCGAAGGGGAACGTAAGGGTTGTTTAACCCCCCTACTAAATTTACTAGTCGGCATATTGGACACTGGAGTCGACAAAGTGAGATCTATAGTTGACAATCGGAAAATGTCAGTCAACTATGACTTTATTTTAAAATCATTTTTTTTTTTTTTTTTTTTTTTTTTTATGTTGATTTTAGGTGCCCCAAGAAGTCCTTACGGTCTTATCACAGAGCACCGCGGAAGAGCATTTAATAGGAAGTTCACGCCTCCTTCCCAACCGATGTCGCAAAACTTGCCCAGAGGCGGGGTTTGAACCACGGATCTTACGTTTCTGAGAAGTGTGCTACCACTGCGCCACTGCTGCATTCGGGATGGCTGTGGCTGATAACAAATTTGCAAATCCGAATCATATACTTGGTTGACGGTATCATCTTTGCTATCGTCTGTAACTATGAATTAAAGTCGGCATATTTTAAGTTCATCAATCGAAATATCATTTGTTTAAACCTATGTGCTTGCAAAAAAATTGGATTTTTTGATTTAGTCAGATAACACTTTTGTTCACTCAGCCCTAGGGCTCGGCGAGTTCCTTACCGGTAACGTTACTGTCTGGTAAGTTACTGGTAACTTACCGATAAATCAATTCTAGTTATCAGTAACTCTTGTTAATTTTTTTTATATTTAATAATAAAGTGTAAAAAAGTTTTATGTTTGTATAAATTTTTCAAAAAATCTGAGCTAACTTAAAGGATTGTAAAATAATTATGTCCAAAGGGAAAATATAAGAATGTTTTAAATAGAATAATGAAATGAAATAATTGAGCAGCTGAGGCGCACTTGCCTCAGAAACAAAGGGTCCTTGGTTCAAACCCACCTCTGGGCAAGTCTCGCGACATCGGTTAGGAAATAGGCGTGAACTTTCAATTAAATGCTCATACGCGGTGCTCTGTGATAAGACCGCAAGGACTTCTTAGGGCACCTAAATAAAATTAAATAAAAAAAAATAAAAATAAATGCAACAAATTAAACGCGGCATTTAACGCCTTAATAGTTAAAACAAATTTAAAATTTCTTTGCATGAAATCTCGGAAACTAACTAAAATTGTAAAAAAATATATATTTCTAGTAAGGGACTAATTTTTGATATTTTCGCCTTTTTTTTTTTTACTGAAAATGCTTTTAAATATTTTTACGCAAACGGCTTAAATGAAATCTACGCAAGCTATATTGGTAATGTAAGAATTCTTCTCACATTCTATCAATAATAGAATAATAGTAATCAATTTTTTTTAAGGTACTTTTTTAAATTATACTTACCCAATGTTACCATAAGTTAAACTCAAGTTATTATAAGTTACGCTCAAATTACCGCGTTACCAGTAACTAAAAGTAACTGTTTTGAAAGTTGCCGAAGTCGTCGAACCCTACTCAGCCATTCAATTCTTTAATATAATTAAGTTTAATGCAAAGCTTGTCAAACCGATTTGTATTCTGTTACTGTAATTTATTATTCAGGCGTTGTACTTGGCTGATTTGAACAAGCTCCGCCTCATTAAACAGGCGCTAAATATGGCCTTAAAAGCATTTTTTTTTTTAAAAAAAAAGTCTATTATCTACTAAGTTAAAATTTGTTAATATTTAAATTGTGCGAAGATTATACAACAATGTATAAATATATTGCCCTTTTAATTTAAATTAAGATAAATGTCATGAAGTACAAACAAACAATGAATTTACTAATCAAACGCATTAATCTAGTCTGCACCTTAGACTTTTCTTTGTTAAAAAAGTCACAACTTTTTATAAACAACTTAACTGGCAAACTCAAAATGTAGAAATTTATTTGGATGTAATATTTACATTTTAGTTTTTTAATTAAACAATATAAGAACAAGCATAAGTAAAATATTATGATGCGGATATGACGTTAAAATTTTTTTTTTTTGAAACGATCGAAAACACTAACAATAAAAACATGAAAATAGAATCTAATTTTTTTCCTTCTTTAAAATGTAATTTATGAAACATAATTTTTATCGTGAATCAGTTATAAATAACAGCAACTGCTATAGCATTCGCTTGAAAACATTTCCTTGTATTATTATCGTGCAATAAAAGCAACATCAAAATATAGAAATTCACGGAAAACAACGTATGGAAAAAGATTTTTACAGATAGAGATGATTACAGATGATATGATTATTTTATTTATTATGTCTAATTAGTAAAATATAGTAAAATATAGTTTCTGTTTAGACATTTCTTGAAATCAATAAAAGTTCAGAAAAAATGGCGACGCTTTACGAAAATTTAGGCGACGCTAATAACAAACCAGAAGTTGTTCCGAGGCAACTAAAAGTTGGAATACTCACAGGTATAATGTAGATTAATAATTTTTAAATTATATATTACTAATAAATTATTAAAGGCCATTTTTTAACGAAATACAGAACCAAATTATTTATTACTTTAGAGTTTGGAATCATTTTTTAAATGTTAATTATTTTTAACTATTTATTTCAATACAATCAATAAGAAATATTGTTTTTTTATAATTAGAACTGCTAAAAAAGGATTTTCATAAAACTAATAATATTTGTGACTTTTAAACATGGTCAAAAGTTTTACTCCAAATTTAAGATAAATTTGAAGTAAAATAAAGTTAATTTTTCCAAAATTTAAATAAATTTGAAGTTCAGTTTGAATTCCAAAATTTAAATAGATTTTAAAAAAGAATACTACTGATTTTTTAACGTCATTAATGAAAAACCTCATATCACCATAAAACCATTAAATTCATGTTGGGTCAAAGACAATTTGTTAAATTATTTTAAAAAACAAATCTTATTGTCTTTTTTAAAAGTGTTGAATCTTGTGATTGTAGTTTCTAAACTTTAAAAATAAAAGCTTTTATTTTTAAGTTTTGGAAATATAATGTATATGTATATATATATATATATATATATATATATATATATATATATATATATATATATATATATATATATATATATATATATATATATATATATATATCTTTGTGGTTTAGAAGTAATTTGGTTTGAATTTTTATTTACTAATAAAATTTACATTTGACATTGATAATGTATTCCAAATGTAAATGCATAAATAAATTTAAAAAAAGTAAGTACAATGGTTTGGTCAAGTACACCATTTGACCCAAAATAACATTATGTACAGATTTCTAAGTTTAAAACATTTTATATATTTTTTTCAATTTATTTATATATTTACTATTAAAGCTGTTGTTTTTAAATTTTGAAACCACAGTCACAAGATTCAACACTTTCAAAAAAGACAATCAGATTTGTTTTTTAAAAACAATTTAACAAATTTAAAATTAGTAGTACTACCAATATTATACTATTGGTAAACATGCTTGAATTAAAAGATCATGTAATTCAGAATAAATTGATTGGTTGATTGATTAAGTTTACTGTTTTTATAAATGATATATTTTTTTCAATTTTATTTTTTCTGTTGTGCAATTGAAAACTCATAAAAAAAGGTTTAAATAAAAATATATAAATAGTTTTTTAAAATACATTTAAATATGATACCAGAAGAATATTTGTTTTAAAATATTAGTCTTTTTAGATAAGTTTAGTTATGTTTAAAATATATGTTAATGAAATTTATTTTGTTGAAAAAACTAGTTAAGATAATTAGAGAATTAGTTGGCATCTATAGTTGTAAAATTTATTAGGGCAGTATACACCTACATTTGCTAAAGTAGTTCTGTGTATATATATATATATATATATATATATATATATATATATATATATATATATATATATATATATATATATATATATATATATATACAGATATATATTCGTAAAATAAAATCAAAAGTTAAATTATTATTGTAACTAAAATAAAAAACACAGTCATTTTAATAATTATCTTTAATGATTCTTACAATTTCTGTATTCTATTGCAATAAGAAAATATAAAACTTTTTTTATGAGCAATAAAAACAATGCTTGTCTAAAGAATTTAGTGCAGCAGCTCGCATAGCTCGCCATGTTCGTTTTAGGAGAGCTTTTCACCGTTCTTGTACTCATTTCTTCCCACCGAGGCCTATATATATATATATATATATATATATATATATATATATATATATATATATATATATATATATATATATATATATATATATATATATATATCAGGGGTGTACACTCGATTTTTAGATGTTTGAGTTTTGACACTTACAGGCATTGTGCAAACTCCAAACTTTTGTATGTTCATGCTTATGTCAAATGAGGATGTTTTGCAATGAATTGTGGTGATTGAAGGTTGGGAACAAAAAAACTCTCATTTTTGGGCCCACCAGGCCCTTAATGTGGGAGCAGCAAGTTTATAAATTATTTTCTATACTATTTTTGTTTAAATCAATATTCATCAACAAATTTCAAATTTCATGCAATAATCTTTTAGTGTTCAGTTTTTATGACCTTGCAAAGTTTAGAGCCCCCTCAAATTGAGGGGGTTAAAACTTTATATGGTCATAAAAACTGAACACTAAGAAAATATTGCATGAAATTTGAAATTTGTTGATAAATATAAACTTAGATAAAAATAGAAGAGAAAATTTTTTATAAACTTGTTGCTCCCACATTAAGGGCCGGGTGTGCCCAAAAATTAGGGTTTTTTTGTTCCCAACCTCCAATCACTGCAATTCTTTGCAAAACATCCTCATTTGACATAAGCATGAACATACAAAAGTTTGGAGTTTGCACAATGCCTGTAAGTGTCAAAACTCAAACATTAAAAATCGAGTGTACACCACTGTATATATGTATATATATATATATATATATATATATATATATATATATATATATATATATATATATATATATATATATATATATATATATATATATCTGTGTGTGCTGATTCTTATTATCCTTGTTGAGTTTTATTATGTGTAAACTAAAACTAAGCTGTTCGTATATTTTAGTTTACATATTGTTATATAAAGAATAAAGCCTATGTTGGCTTAGAATTAATTATAGAATATTAAATTCACTACTATTAATTATAGAATACTTAATTCACTTAAAATATTGTAAACAGTAAATTGTAGATTTACTGTTTACAATATTTTAACAATAATAAGAGTGGAAAAATTAAGAATGGCAAGATTCTGAGGTGGAGGATAGAACTTTCTTTGTACAGCTATGATATAGTTTATTGCCTTGGGTGTAACAATTTTGTTGCTGATGCCCTCTAGATCTTGTTGCTCTATGGCTATAAATAGACCCTCTCATAAGGAACTACATGAATCTCTTTGTCACCCTGGAATTACCAGGATGTATCTTTTTATAAAATCAAAAAATCTGCCTTTTTCAATTGATGATGTAAAAAAAAAACATTTCTTCAAGTCAAATTTGTGATGAATTAAAATCTAAATACTATGTAAGCAATTTTAACCACACTTTAATAAAATCTACTCAACCTCTTAAGCGACTAAACATGAATTTTAAAGGACCAATTCCATCTTAATCCAGTAACAAATATTTTTTAACAGTTTTGATGAGTTTTCAAGATTTCCCTTTCTATTTCCTTGTCGTGTTATCTCTTCAGGCTAATAGTAAATATTCTCATGTAAGAATACCTGATGGATGTGAGACAATTGTTGCTACTAGATATCTTACACCAATGGCTGATATAATCAGTGATAATGATGGGAATAATAACTACGAAGATAACTCCAATGAACCTGATACAATCCCTTTACCCGAATCTCTCCATCCTCGATCTCAAAACTTTTCTACTCTCTCCAACAAATCCTAATAGAATTTCTATTTAAGAATTAATCCCTTGTTCAGGAATATCCCAGAATCCTCCTAATTATTTATATGACTATATTTGAACTATTTGAGCTTATTTAACTATATTGTTTTATTTAGAATTGTAGAATGTGCTGGTTTTTATTAATATTATTATCCTTATTGAGTTATATTATGTGTAAACTAAAATTAGTCTGTTCGTATATTTTTGTTTACATATTATTATATTAAGAATAAATCCTTATATATATATATATATATATATATATATATATATATATATATACAAATTTATATATATATATATGTATATATATATTTGTGTATATATACACATATATACTTACATATATATACATATATATTTGTGTATACATATAACACACACAAAATTAAAGATTTACTAATTTTATTTAAAAAATACTTTTAGTAAGTGATCGATGCTCTGCTGGTACACAAGAAGATAAAAGTGGCCCTAATTTAAAGATTCTTGTTGAGTCACATTTACAAAGGTTATTTAACTAATATTCTTTATAAAAACTTATCACTAGATTTTATTACTAATATGTATTTCTGGCAGGATATTAAAACTATGGCATAAGTTTCTAAAAATTGAAAAATGATTTGAAAAGTATATTTATTATTATGATTTAAAAATATATTTATAGTAAAATAATCCTTTATACATATAGATCAACCTTTTTACCATACCTCATTAGAAACATTGAAAAAAAGACCAAGTTGAGAATATTTTATAGACTCTTTCTCAAAGACATAGCTAACTTTTTCAATCAGGGATGAATTCAGACCTGTTTTAGTACCGCTGGAGTGGTATAGGCGCCCAATAAAAACCCCACAAAAAAGTTTATCTTTTTTTTTTTTTTTCTTTTTTTTTTTTTTTTTTTTTTGAAAATAGAAAAAAAATTCAGTTTTAAATGCAGTAGCAAAAAATTATTTTTCAGTTTATTTTAACTGCCTCATTTTTTCTTAAGGACAATAAAATGAATTAAAGATAAATTGTTTTTTTACGTAATTACGTGACATAACTATTCTTTGTCGTTATAAAACTTAACTTTAAAAGCTTGATGCAATATTTTATAAAAATGGAATGTATAAAAAAAATTTCTATTTCAAAAGATATAATGATTTTAAAATATCCATTTAGAGTAAAGTTAACTTTTATTTTTTGGCAATTAAGGCTCTTAATCACCAAAAAAAAAACTCAGGAAGAGGAGTGTCTTAAACCTCAAACATTCCGTTTATGAAGTCAACACTTTATCCAAATAAGCTAATGCGCGTATTAGGAGGAAAACTAATATTATACTTATTTTCATAATTATTCTTCTTCTTTCCATAAAAGGTTAACTTAATTAAAATTAACTAAATTAATTGACTTATTGCAAAACTAATAGTTGAATATTGTATTGTCATCAAGCATGAGTATGTATGCAAAATTTAAAGAAAATCTATCATCAGGAAGTAACTAAAAAATTAATTGCAAGATTTGATGTTCACAGACAAACAGAGACGATGAGTTAATAAATGCGTTGCGAAAAATAATATTTTTCAAATTATGTTTACCGTAATTATTTCTTCTTACATTATCTTTAATTTGAAAGGCGCTTTTAAATCACTTTAAGAATTATTAACTTTTAGTAAAAGTTAAATGAACAGATTTGCTAATATTTAAATCAAAAATTTAAAATTAAAATAATACTAAATACGTTAATTAAATGCCTATCTTTTTTATATCTTTACAAGTTGTATTCAAATACAACTTGTAAAACTATTTTGTTATTTTTGCAAATATTACGCGGTTTAACATATGTGTGTGTGTGTGTATATATATATATATATATATATATATATATATATATATATATATATATATATATATATATATATATATATATATGTATATATATATATATATATATATATATATATATATATATATATATATATATATATATATATATATATATTATTCAATGTAAATATTGATTAAAAATTGTCTAAAGTATTAAAGTATTCAAACATTTAATTACTAGTTATTTAAAACATTAACTACTTAAACTAAATTTACTAAACTATAGTTAATAAATGTTAAAAATACTTTAAACAATTTCCAATAATTATATACTAATAGTGCATTATTTGCAACAAAAGCGTTAATTAAAGTCTAAAGTCTTATTGTAACTAATGTAACATCGACCATTTTTAAAAAAAAATGAATTTAAATCAACTCATCTTAATTTATAACTAAACAAGATAAACACAAATAATGATTGAAAAAATTATAATAAAAAATTGTTGTCACGGCACCGGTTACATCTCGGGGAAGAAGAGAAGGTGGGGGGGAGATACTTATAAAAAAACTCCCTCACCAACCCCTTATTTCCCCCTCCCTTTCTCCAATATTGCCGAAAAAAACGGTATCCTTAAATTAAACATTTTTATAAACTAGTTCTTTAATAATTGACCAAAAATCCTCAATTGTTCTTTTATAAAAGACATTAATCTTTTTTTACAATCTACTAAGTAAATTTTTTGATTAATTATTAATAATTCAAAATTTTGATGAAGTTTTTTCATTTTTAGTCTTTGTCATTAGTTTTTGATTATTAGTTCAACCTGAAGTTTATTATTTGATTATTAGTTCAAATCTTCATTTTTTTTTTATTATTATTTTTTTTTTTTTGAATACTTAAATTCCTTTTTATGATTTTATGAGTATATAAATTTGAAGTTCTGAATATATGAGCCTACTTTACAAAAGGGTACACAATCATGCTTATCAAACATTAATTTTATTAATTTTATTGCTTCAACTTTTTATGAGACATTTTAATAGCTTTTTTGCCTGATCCATGGCTTTTATGATAGCCAGATCCTTTATTTGTATGTTGAATTATACTGTATATAGTTGATTTTGTAATTTTCTTTGCTAAAAAATGTTCTACACTTTTAGCCTTAATGGTACTTGTGCACACACTCTTGAACATTTTGTGCACACACTTGAACATTTTGTGCACACACTCTTGAACATTTTGTGCACACACTCTTGAACATTTTGTGCACACACTCTTGAACATTTTGTGCACACACTCTTGAACATTTTGTGCACACACTCTTGAACATTTTGTGCACACATTCTTGAACAGTCACTTGCTTTGCTTTCATTTTCTAAAATAAAATTTTAAAAATCTTACATCTCAGCGTTTATTTTTAAACACCAACACTTAAGAATTTTTTTTAGTATATAGTACAATTAAATTTTAATAAATAAAGTATGCTGTACCCTGATTGAAATTTTATCCAGATTTTAAGTGGATGCTTTTAAAGTGAATACACTTGAAGCTATAATTGTGAAAGGAATTAAAGTAATTTTTAATGAAACAGAAAGTTAAAGGTTGTTCAGCTTTTTTAAAATTCAACACTAAATCTTTTTCTAAAAAAGATATTGAATCTTACAGAGTTGGTCAGCTAAACAAATAAACAAAAAAGCATTGCAAATTTTAAATATATTGTTTGATGAATGTTTCATGATGTTGATTGAAAATTTTAATAAAACCTATACAAAATGTTTGAATGAAGTCAATAGAATTAAAATGGTTCTGACAAATGCGAAGAATAATTTCTTTAATTTCTGTGACTTTTTTCTACAAAGGAGTAAGTATTAACGAACAAGAAAAAATGTGTTAAACAACAAATTATGGTGTTATACAATGAGTTAAATAAGTTTTGTTTGCATATGAAATCTTTTCTTTTGCAACATTTTTAAAAAAACTTTCAAATTTTTTTTTCTTTTTATTTCCTGATTATTACTAGGAAATGTGTTTTTTAAAATCAATATGTACATGATTAAAAAAAATAGCAGTATGAAGAAAATCTGGCAAATTCAATTTGTCATGCTACTAAAATAGGATTAAATAACTGTTTTAAAGAAAACCTTTTGTGAAATAATTGAACACAAAGTTAACATTGCAATTAGTTTCATAGAAGAAAGCTTATTTTTAACAAAAAAATATTTTGTTCTGACTGAAATTCTGATTCATTTTTCATGCTTTTAAATGGCCTATTTCAGCTTCTACCTGGGTTGTATGCAATAGAATTTGGCATAATTCACAACTTGTAGGATCAATCATATTGGTTTCATACAAAAATGGTTTTCATATTGTCATGGTAATGAGACAAATAAAAACAAATTAAACAACTATGTTCTCAAACATATTGTTATCTGCAGGTCTAGCCAGTGGTAATTTTATGAATAAAATGAGAAGGATGAATCCTTCAAAGTGATGAATGGCTTATAAAAAATATTTTAGTGTAAGTCAAATGTTAACTTCCTCTCTTTTTAGGTTAGGGGGGCAACAACCCCCTTCTCATACAACCCGTGAAATCGCTCCTGGGTCTCGGTATTTGATGATGAAGAAAATCTTTAATAAACAGTTAATAATAAGTACTTTCTTAATGGAATAAAAAAATTAATTGTTTTAAAACTATAAATAAATAAACAAAAATCGTTACATAAAAAAATGAACATAATTTGCAAATAAAAGTTTATAAACTTAAGAAATATAAAACTTAACGGTATCGGTTTGAATGTTACGCCTCTTAACAAGGCGTAACATTCAAACCGATACTCGATCTGAGTATCGGTTCAAATTGGTAGTGGCACACATCTTTGATATTAAATTATTCAGATTATTTGTTCGGTAGTTAATTTTTTTTTTAGTATCAGATGTAGACATCAGGTTTTTTGTGTGATTTTTCATACGAGGATTTATTGCGAGGTTATTGCGAGGTTATTGCGAGGTTATTGCGAGGTTATTGCAGTATTAACCTCAAGAGTTTATGAGAGCTTATTACAGTAATAACCTCAAAAATTTATGTGAGGTTATAACTGTAACTCCTGTAATATGTTATATGTGTATTTGTCAAATGTATGTTGAGAATAAAAATTCTTTTAATTCAGTGAATGTTTATTTTAGGCTTGGCTCAGTAAATGTTTTGACTGGATGTGTACCTGATGAATTTCATATTATTAAGGTGATAAAATATTTATTCTGAATTCAATTGTCTCTCCTAAATTTTTATTTATAAAATTTTTTAATTGTTAAAATAAACTCAAACAAAAAAGAATAAGATTGCCTAAAGGGAGGGAACACGTAAAATCTTTTGGGTTTTCAATCAAAAAATATTTGCATTGTTGTGGACTTTTCTTCTACTACAATATTCCAGCTACAAATGATTTTTTTACATATTTTATTGGGTTTTTATATTGTTCACCTTAAAAAATGTTATATTTTTGTTTTATGTTTTTTGCTATTTCAATTGTAGTTCATGGAAATGTGGGGGTAAAAAAAATTCTAATAATAGGAGCTTAAGGTTATGGCCTCTAATGACTCCTAATAAGAACTTGTAAAGAGATTTTTATTTAAAATTGTTATCTTCTGTTCATTGAGATTAAGTTCTAATTTGAATTTGTATAAAAAAATTAAACAGAAACTTGTAAATCTATGAATTTCTAAATAGTCTGGTTTAAAAAACTATTGTTTTTGAAAGAATTAATATTATAATATTTGCTAAGATAATGATCAGAATGATCATTATCTTAGCAAATATTATAATATTAATACTGGTGCATCTCTGAAGTTAGTTTTTCAATACAATTTACGGATTATAGATAGGTTTTCCTTAAATTTATTTTCAGACTTTTTTTAGCTTATTGTTTTATATTACAACACTGTCAGTTTTATTGGATTTATTCCTTGGTCTTTAGTGACAAAATGTCAGTTTCAGATTTTTCACTTAATTCCAAGTTATTTTATATTTCCTATTGAATTTTCTAATATGTTTGTGAATCATAATATGATCTGTAATATATATCTTTATATATGTTTAGAGCTGTCTTACTCACTGGAGTGATAATGAAAACTGTGTTCTTATTCTCACTACTGGTGGAACTGGTTTCTCATTAAGAGATGTTACCCCAGAAGTATGTATGTTATTTCTAATGGTTTATATATATATATATATATATATATATATATATATATATCAACTATAGGGCTCAAGTTAAGCGTATTGCGATTGCGATTAAAAAAATATTTTTGCGTTTTTTTTTGTTTTTTTTTTAATTTTAATTGTTTTTTATTTTGCACATAATTTAAGCATATACTCAAAGGGATCCCAAACCTCCGAGACATGATGTGTTCGAATTAAAGAGAATGATAAAAAAAATGTTTGGGCTAATTTTTTTTGAATAAAACAAAAGAGTAAATAAATACCAAGAAAAACTAACTTTTTTATTTTAGTTGAAGCTCACCTATGTTTTATTGTAGGCCAAAAAATCAGCATAATATACGCCTCAATCTACAGACTTGATAATTTATTCAAGTGCGTTTTATTCCTAAGAGTTTCAGTACATGACATCATTGATTTTTTTTGTTTGTGTAGGAGATCTATTATGTAAACAAATAAAAGTCAATGACATCATGTACTAAAACTCTTTGGAATAAAACGCGCTTGAATAAGTTATCAAGTCTGTAGATTGCAGCGTGTATTATGCTGACTTTTTGGCCTACAATAAAACAGAGAAGGTAAGCTTCGACTTTTCTCACTTTTTATTGCAAAACAATTTGAACAAAAATTGTTTTGCAATAAAAATATGTATATATATATATATATATATATATATATATATATATATATATATATATATATATATATATATATATATATATATATATATATATGCAACACAAATATGTGTATATATATATATATATATATATATATATATATATATACATATATACATATATATATATATATATATATATATATATATATATATATATATATACATATATATATATATGTATATATATATATATATATATACATATATATATGTGTGTATATATATATATATATATATATATATATATATATATATATATACACATACATACATACATACAGGTTGTTTTTTTTGCATAAATTATGCAAAATCTTTTTTTAATTTAAACAACAATTATGTAAAAAATCGGATACACAACAATCAAAAAGAAAAATTTAGACTATTAGGATCACATTAAAAAAAATAATAGTTTTACAAAATGTTGAGATTTACCTTGCACTCAAAGCTAAATTATTTAGGAACAATTTGGGGCATATTTTGGGGTATTTTGCCACTTGAGTACAAAGTAAATGACAATATTTTTGGAATTTTCTAATGATGCCCTTCCTCTTTTAGGCAAGTGCAAAAGCGCATTGTAAACATAGTTGGACCTGTTCTTGTAGCCAATCTTCAACCATTATCATATTGTCGTAATGTCGCTTCTCTTTCTCTTTTTTACAAATACCATAATGGGCGCTGCTCTAAAGAGCTAGCGTCTCTTGTGCCATCTACTAAAATTCATTCTCAGGTTACTTGTCATTCAGTTAGATCTCATCCTTTTTCTGTGACTGTTCCTAAGTGCTCCAAAAACTCTTATTCCACTAGTTTTTTTCCTCGAACATCAGTTCTTTAGAATTCGCTTCCTTCATCTTGCTTTTCTGATTCATATAATTTGCAATCTTTTGCAAGTCGTCTGTCAATCGTTATCTGTCATCTACAATCTTCATCTTTTCTCTTCTAGTAACTTCCAACTCTAATTAGTAGTTGCTTGCAGCCTTAATGGAAACAAAGATGTGTAAAAAAATTTTTTTTTTTGGAAATCATATTTTTTATATACTTACTCCAAATTTGGCTTCTTGTGTATTGCAGTTTTAAAATTTTATACAAAATTTATATATATATATAAATTAGTAAAAACACTATCTAATTTTTGTGCTCTTCAACAGCATGTTTCACCATCAGTAGGTTCATCAGAAAGAATGTCTAAACATCAAAAAATTCAAATTATAGAAAAAAATTATTTCACAGTAAGTTGGGAATTGTTATAATTAATTATGTAATAACTGTTGTTATTTTGCAACCAGGAAGTTGCATTAACTACATTAGATAATTAAAGAATCATGAAAAGAAATCTTTAAAATTAGGATAATTTTAGACTGGTCATTTGTTTTTATAATTTTTTAAAAGGAACTTATCTTCATGTCTGCATTTAGAAATTAATACAGATTTTTTATTCATTAAATTTTCTTGATCTAAATGAGTAATATTTTCAAATTTTTCTTGTAAACATAGTATACATTTTTTGGAAATGTTATTATAGGCAGGAGCAGTTTTTAGAATAGAGCAGTTTAATTTAAAATTAATATTTTTTTCTTTTAGTTGCCAAATATATTTTGACAGCATAGTTTCTTTTGAGTATTTTTTATGTTTAAAAGATTGTTTGTGGTTCACATAACGTTTTTTCCATTTGCCCTCCCTATTGTTTATCGGGGTTGTTTTGTAAGGAAACAATGCATTTGTAAATAATATTTTTTGATAAGCATTTGCCATTCATAAGCAGTGCTTACAGTTACAATTTTCAGTATTTTTTTCTTTAAGAAATTTATTTTTATTAATTAATGCAAAATTATGGCCTTTTATAATTCTTTCAATATTTTTTGTACAGCTATAGCTTATTTTAATAGTGTTTCTGTTAAAAATTTTGTGCAATTTGTTAGAGGGAGGGAAATGTTTGTCTACTAATTTTTAAAACTCTTTTCCAATATTTTTTGAAACATTTTTGCTGTACGGAGGGTTGAATTTCTAGTTCTATTTTGCTTTATTGCAGTTTTTGTTTCAAATTTTAGCTCGAAATTTTTAAATTTTTTTAAGAGCATCTTCATTCACGCGTTTTGAAGAGTAAAATATATTTTCATTAGAAGAGTTTTGATTTAGTCTATTGTTAATTGAAATAGGAACTTATTTTAAGATTTACGGGGTATGATTTAAATTTATATTAATATACAACAAGTCATCATTAGGTCTTTTATAAGGCCTATAAGAATTTTCTGAGAGGTTAAATGTGACATCAAGAAAATTCACAATTTTTAAATTAATGTTTATTTCAATTTGGAAGCCAATTTTTTAATAAATTTTTATAATATTTTTTCTGATTTTTTCAAGTTTAGGCCCTGATTTTTTTTGCATTATAATTAAACCATCATTGCGATACAAGCCTAATTGATTAAAATGAATTATTTTTGCTAGTAAATTTAAAATATATAAGCCTACAAATTCACAAATTTCTGCTCTGTTATAACTTCCCATTGTTACATCAAAGCATTTGTGCGTGGTTATATATATATATATATATATATATATATATATATATATATATATATATATATATATATATATATATATATATATATATATATATATATACATATATATATATACATATATATATATATATATATATATATATATATATATATATATATATATATATATATATACATATATATATATATATATATATATATATATATATATATATATATATATATATATATATATATATATATATATATATATTAGGGTGTAACATCCCCCTCCTCTCTATATTCTAAAAAAGATCTGTTCATATTCTTAAAACCTATTGGTTCTCACAAGCAACTTTGTTAAATTTTTTTTTAATTTTATTGGATTTAGGGGGAGCACCAGACCCTTGAACACTTACCAGGTCCCTAATATTATATAAAAAAAAGTTTTTCAAAATTATGTTAGGTTGGGCCTCAAAAGAAGCGAAATTATATAAAAATTTTTAAAATAATAATATTGTTAAAAAATTTTTGTTTTTAAACCCTAATATATATATATATATATATATATATATATATATATATATATATATATATATATATATATATATATATATATATATATATTAATGGATTTTTTTTTTTTTTTTAAATTATCAACTTTTAAGAAATTATTAATTAATTCCCAATAATCATCGCGTTAAATAATTTTTGCAGTTCTTGATTATGAAATGTCAACAATTCTTCAAATGTTGTATGACTAAAATGTTGTTTGATGATATTGGTGTATGTTTCAATAGCACCCAGAATAATAGTTTTCCATTTGTCTCTAAACTTTTTGAACATTGGGATATCAGGGCTACTTGTGACTTGGTGGATTTTTGTTTTAAATACACATTTTAAAACCATTTTGTAAGCATGGTGGCGGCAAGCAAAAATTAGTAATTCCTTATCTAGTTTTTGTTTCATAGTAAACTAGCTCCTTTTAATGACCCTGTTTTATAATCCTATTTGCCTAAAATGTGACAAAGGTCTTCCTTCTTCTTTTTGTTGTAGTTTCAGAACTTCCTGTTTGAGAGGTTGACAGTAACAGTTCCTCAGGGCTTTTGTCGGTGCTTGTGTGTGATTGTGATGTTCTTGCGTTTGTATAAAATCTTGTGTTGTAAGAAATGACAAAAAACTCACTAGACACATTTGCTAAATTTTTTTTTTTTTTTTAATTTTCTTTTTTTTGTCCTTTCTTCTTTTTCGGCAAATTTATAGTCTAAAAACAATTTACCAAAAAAGAATCCTGGACGTCTTGGTTCTTTTTGTTTATGTATTTTTATCTGTTCCAAGGCATCAGCGTGTGCTATATCAAATAAATTATTCAAATTGTTTTGAAAGTTCTGCTTTTGGTTTCTTTTTGGATTTTTTCTTTGCAACACTCTTCAAACATGGTGAAGATCTACAAGTTTTTTTACACAGTTAGCTCTGGTAGGGATTCTAGCTTTTTTCCAAAATCCGAAATGGTTTTTAACTCTTTTTTTAACATTCTCACGAATATTAAAAAAAGTATATCAAGAACATTAACAGTTAACAGTTAGATGGTAACTTTGTGCCTGTTATTTGAGAATTCACTTCACCTACGGAGATAAATTTTTTTTTTAGTGCTTTTGAATTTTACTTCTATTTCTTAAAAATAAAACAATATGTATTTGTCATGAGAATAACTGAGTATTTCTCAAATTGCAGATTAGCTTAAAGCGGTTTTTACAATGGTGCAAAATTGATAATAACTATCTATTAACAATTATTGTAAGTAGATAACTATTATCTATTTACTATTATCAATTGGTATCGAATTATCAAATAATAGTTATCTATTTTTATATAAATTTTTTGTATTAGTAAGCACAACTATTGCACAACTTGTATGAACATGATTCAATGCAAGTCGGCACGGGTTATTGTATTTGAATTAAAGTGAAATTTATTTTCGAGTGTTTTAAAAGCAAATAAACGAAAATAAAAGAATAGAAATAGTGTTAAGCAAAAAAGGCATCATCTACTGATTATTGAAAGAGTTTGTAACCATAATTTCATTTTTTATTTTAATATTTAAGAAAATAAGCTAAAATCTTAGTATTTTACTTTAAGCTTTTTTCAACTTCTCACAAAGAACTGTTTTACATTAAAATTAAAACATATTTTTTGTATGTTTACAGTTGATAAAAGTATCTTTAAGTCAGAATGCACAATAGTATAAAAGCAAGCAACATGGTTTGTTCACTGGCATTAACAAATTTTGTGGCCCAAGTGTTAGTGTACATGCACTTATAAACTTAAATTTACACTTATAAAAATTCTAAATTTAGATTAAATAATATAGAATAAAATTTTTAAATTACTAATAAAGAAATTAATTTGAAAATTTTTAATAGAATTAAAAAAAAAAATTAAATAAAAATTTGGATTTGTAGGACAAAACTTGTGTGTTGTTTTTTTTAAATTTGTAGCAAAATCTTTTGAAAACTAAAAATCTACAGTTACTACTAAAATTAACCAATCAAAAATTTCCAATCATATTTTAATATAGTAAAAGTGAACTCAACTAAATTTTTGAGAAAAATAAATAACTATAATAATAATAAAAAATAATTTAAAATATTTTAAATATTTTAAATATTTTAAAAAATAATTTAAAATATTTCTTTATTATATTTACGACAATTTTATTTTAATTACTTATTTTAATAATTAAACAAAGAAAACAATTTATACCTTCAACTGTTTACATTGTTAATGTAAACAGTTGAAGGTATAAATTGTTTTCTTTGTTTAATTATTAAAATAAGTAATTAAAATAAAATTGTCGTAAATATAATGCATAATAACTTAGTAAAACATAATTAAATTTAAAAAAATAATTTTTTTTTTTTTTATTGTCAATTGGTTTTGTTATATCATTGAAAAAATTTTAATTTAATTATATTAACTTTATTATTATATTATTTTATTTTACTTCTTGATTTTCACCTAATTGTTTTTGTTAAAAACTTTTAAAGGCAACTAAAGATGTAATTGATCGTGACGCACCTGGCCTTACAGTCTGCATGTTAAGTAAATCAATAGAAAGTACTCCTACTGCAATGCTTTCACGGTAAGTTTATCAATTAGAATAAACCTGATGTGAATCTATTATTTTTTTCAATCTAGATTGTAAAATAAATTTTAATTGTATTATTATTAATAATGTACCAATTAATCGTCATCTGTTTAATAGGCTCTAATTGATCAGCTATTTTTATTTTTAATGATAAATTTGTTTAAATTGACTTAATGTGACCAAATGATAATTTTAGTTTATAAACAAACAAGCTAAACCTAAATATAGTAAGAATAGACTTAATTTGAAAAAACTTTTTATACCCAAAGCCATTGAAATTCTTTTTCTTCAGTCAAGTTTGTCTTTTTCAAAGAGTTGTAGATGATAACTAATTGATAATGACCGCTACTTACAATTAATAATTTTGCTCCTATTTTTCTGGTTTTAAGTTTTATCTTTCACAAGTTTTGATAGTTTGTCTTACAGTTTTATTTTTGGGTTTGAGTTCCATCTGCTATTTTTTGTTTCCGCTTTACTTCTTTTTTTCATGCTGCAAATCGGAAGCCAATCAAAAGCTAATTTATTAAATTGTAAAAAGCAACTTCTTTCCCACAGTGTAATCCTGATTCAATGCTAGAAAGACACAAATTTTTTTAATTTTTTCAGTTTTTGTGTTAGAATTATTCATCAGTCTTCTTAGTTCAATCAATCTTGAAATCTATTGGTCTTCTTAGTTCAATCAATCTTGAAATTGAAAAATTTTTAGTTCAATCAGCCTTCAAATATTTTTAGTGGTAGTTTAAGACTCTTAAACATCAGGCAGGTTCCTATATTGTTTTAAATGTCAGAAAAATATCTTATTTGTAAAAATATATATTTTTTAATGATAACGATTTTATTTTAATAATAAAGTTTTAATTTTTTTTTTTTTTTTTTTTTTGCTATTTCCAACAAAGCTGCATGCAACCACTATTAAGTTGGTAGTTACCTAAAATTATACTTACACAGTGAATAGTGTTAAAGAGTTAGGATAAAGTTGGCAGAAGATTTGAAAAGTTTAAGTGAGTCAGGAAAACATGAAGACAAGAGAGATTTCTAAAGCAATCTTAGTAGATCCTAACTTTGCAATGAATTGCATGTTTATGATCATAAGAGGTCAGTAGTGAATGATAACCCAAAAAAACAAAAAGTAGAGGGCTCAGTGAGAGGTTTGTCATTCATCAATATAGGAATGTGATAGTATTGTGAGTTTTGTTAAAGTTAAAGTTTGCAAGACATTGCAAACCCCAAGCTATTACAGAATGGAGATCAAATTCAAGCTCGGCTGTTCTAAGCCATTGAAAAGATTTTTTTGTCAATCCAAGAGTATAAAGTTGAGTGGTCAGCAAATAGAGTCACTTTAGATGTAAAATTGTCAGAATGATCATTAATGTCGAAACAGTACCTTGGCGTACCGAAGAAGCTTCCAAATGAAGAAGAGTGTTGACCTTTGAGTAGAGTTGCAAAAAAACGTGTTTTTTTCCTTTGGCGTTTTTTTGTGTCAAAAAAATGTGTTTTTTTGGCGTTTTTTTTTGTTTTTTTGGTGTTGTATTGCTTTTTTTTAAACAATTTTTCAGTTTTTTTTGACATAAAATTTTGAATAGTTTTCCTTTACAATTATAATTACAAGTATAATTTTAGTCATTAAAGGCACATGTATAAACACCAATTTAACATAAATTTTTTATAAAAAATTTAAATTACGTTTAAGTTAGTTATATATCTAGGCATACTATATGAAAATGTTTATTTTATGTTTTGTTGTACTAACAACTGTGATACTCTCATTATATATAAAAACTATTCTTATTCTATAAAAAAGTTACCATTTAAATTTTGATAAATATATTAATGTATAATACCATGCAAATTTAATATCAGACTTCAAATGCTCAAAAAAAATAAGCAATCTATCAAGATTATTAACTTAATTATGCATTTGTATATTATGTAGTAATTAAGTTTTACATTGTTTGTTTGTTATATCAAAAAATTATTGCTAGTATGCCCATATTTAAAAAAAGCCTATACTGAACTATATTTCAAGGAAAACTTGAAAATTTTCTAATTATTATTTATGGAGTTTCCCAGACCCCATTCACCTGATGATTCGTAATTTATTAATTTGTAATTAATTTTTTAACAGCATTTTTTTTTTCTAATTACATTATTTATTCATCTAGATATTTTCATATAGAAATATATCAGAACACTTGCAAAATTCTTTAATATGCTCTGTTTTTTAAGTTCAATTTTTAGACATAATCTTATGGCAAAAGAATTGTTTATCTTTTTCCATTTTACTAATTTGGTTCAGAGGTTTAAATAAATGAGTGACTAAGGCTTTATTTGGGCTTTATTAAGCCCCCTGTATGGAGAGCCTAATCATAATTCTTTTTGTTCTTCCTGTTGATTACCAACAAGAAAAAAAAATTCACTTAATAATTTAAAGATATCCTTTCTCTTTATATATATATATATATATATATATATATATATATATATATATATATATATATATATATATATATATATATATATATATATATATATATACATATATATATATACATATATATATATATATATATATATATATATATATATATATATATATATATATATATATATATATATATATATATATATATATATATATATATATATATATATATGTATATGTATGTATATATAGATATTATGGTGCTTTAAAAATCACTACTCAGTGTTGTTAATGTGGTGTGGTTATTTTTTGTATTAATCTATTTTTAGATTCTAATTCAGAAAAGATTTATATAAAATTTCTCTTTATTTGAGTAATAAGTTGACTTTTTAATAAAACATTTTAGGGACCATTTAAACAATATTAGGGACCTGTTGAATATAAAATGAGCTTAAGTAAGAACTAAATATTGAACAATTAAACTTAAATTAGACTTGAAACTTTAAATTGTGTATCTGGGATTATTAAATCATTTCTTTCAAACTGCTTTATTATAATCATCGTCAAAGGCCTACTTATTTGTTTCTAGTAACTTCTGGGGTATCTCAAGGTTCTATTCTTGGTCCTGTTTTGTTTCTTATCTACATTATTGATCTTACTGACAACCCTACATCTAAAGTAGCTCTTTTTGCTAATGACTCAAGGTTTTACTCCTGTCTTGACAAAAAGTCTTCTCTTTTTGATCGCTTAGAACAGGCAGCCAATTTTGTATCTGTTGATACAAAATTGGCTGCCTGTTCTAAGCGATCAAAAAGAGAAGACTTCTAAAATATGTGAGCCCCAATCTGTTCACAGATTGGGGCTCACATATTTTAGCTTATAAATTTTTATTTCCAACAAAACTCAGTTATTTATTGCAAACAACTACCACAATACTGTCGACATTTCTATATTAATTAATGGTAACCCTCTTACTGAGTCCTCTTTTTTACATCTTCTTGGAATATTATTTGCTACTAACCTTTCTTGTAAACAAAATATACAATCGATTGCTAAATTAGCATCCCTTTATCATTATTGTTGTTTTCTTACCCTTGATTCCATTCTCTACCTCTACAAATATCTTTTTGTCCCTGTATGGAATGTTGTTGTCATATTTGGGCTGGTTCTTCTTATGATGCCCTTTTTCTTCTAAACAAGCTCTATCTGCTAAGCTTGAGCCTCTTTCTCATTGTCATAAAGTTGCATCTCTTTCTCTTTTCTACAAATTCTATCATGGTGACTGCTCAAAAGAGTTATTATCTCTAGTTCCATTAACAAAAACTCATTCTCGCTTGACTCTTTATTATGCTAAGTCTTATTCATTAGTTGTTATATTTTATTAAATATAATAAATGTAAATAAATAATGTTTATTGTGTCAATATACACTAAAAACAGTAAAGATAAAATTTAGGAAGATAAAATTATCAAAGAAGTTTTTATACAGGACTGCTTCAACCGTGTTAACCTTTAACTGTGTTAATATACCAAAACAAAAGTTAATTCAGTAAGTTTCAGTATTTATTGTCCTATTTAAATCAGAAATTAAAATATGAATTAAGATATTGCCATTAAAGTTAAATTTAGTAACTTAAACAATGAATTTTTGAATATTTCCCAAAAAAAACAAAAAAACGGACCCCTATGTTTTTTTTCCAAAAAAACGACCAAAAAAACAACCAAAAAAACAAGAACCAAAAAAACGTGTCACATCTCTACCTTTGAGGATGACTTAATTACTTTATTGAAAGCTTTTGATATATCAACAGTAGTAGCGTTTGCCTTACTGCCTCCATTTAATGCACAATAGAATCTTTCAGTTACAGTAGTTAGCAAGTTAGCCGTAAAACTAAAAGATAAATGGTTGTTAGAAATTTGTTAATTCAGAAAGACTAATATTAGTGAAATTCTAAATTTGAACTTTAATGCATTTTATTAATTTTTTATTTTGAATCTGGCTGGAAAAAACTTCTGGAAAACTTCTGCATTATTTTACTAAAAGACTCTTACTTCTGCAATTAACTTACTAAAACATGGATTTTACATTACTTTTACATTTAAACAAATAAATTTTTTTAATTGCTTTTCTAAAAATTGCATCTTTTCATGCATTAAGTCTTCAATAAATGCATGAAACTCTATTTTTATTTTTTACTTTAATTTTTTTTATCTAGAATTAGAATTAGATTTTTATCTAGAATTACAATTGGAAATTAAAAGATTACTAAACATGTTGTATAAAAAGTTTATAATGCACTACATTGTGTTCAAGGAGTCTGGACTTAAATTAAGGAGTCTGGACTTAAAAAACTGTATTTAATTAAAAAAAAAAATGTTTTGAAAGCTTTCTGGTTCAATTAATGTTTTGAAATATGAGTTTCATTTTTATATTTTCTGTTTTTTTTTCCTAGTCCAGTGTGTGGAATTAGAAAGTCAACAATAATCTGTAACTTACCTGGAAGTAAAAAAGGTTCACAGGTATTTAATTTTTGTTTGAATTATTTTTAATTTATAAAATAATGAAATGCTATTGACTTAGTTACATTTTTATTATTTTTTAAAATATTTCCTGTAATAAATATTTGATTTGTTTTAGGAATGTTTTGAATTTATATTACCTGCATTAGGTCATGCTTTTGGTAGGTTGAGACTTGTTCTAAATAGTTTACTGATTTGAAATGAATTTTGTTTGACTTTTGTGCTGTTTTTTTTATTCTTTTTCTTTGAAAAATTTTTTTTTTCAAATTTAGATTTGGTGTTAAATAACATTCATAAAATTGAATTGACTCACACAAATATGACAAAAGTGACGGCACAAGTGCATAAGGAAAATATAGTATGTTATTTTTTTATTCTTTTTTTACCAATATGTTTTTTTGTTTTCAAAGTTCAAATCTTTTGTTGATACAATCGTGTTTAAAGAGTTAGTGAAATTAATTGTAAAAAATTTTGAAGATTTTTTCTATAATATACAACAATTTTGTTTGAATTTCTATTAGAAAAAGTCTCCTCCTCATTGCCATGGGCGAACTGAAAGCACAAATGAAGTAATATGTCTTGTTCAAAATTGTCAAAATCAATATTTTGTAAGTTAAGTTCCATGATACTGGAGTGGGTAACCTGGAAGTCATGGAAATTAGTTTTCATCAGATTTTGTAAGTTTTATTACTTTAAATTTTTCATCTAGGAAACACCACCAATGTCTATTCGTGGCAGTCTTGACAGTCTGCACAGCAATGACTCATCAATAGATTCTTCTGATTATTATTCTCAATCTTCAACAGAAAATAATCATGCGTGTCCTCACAGAAAAACAGCGGGTATATCCTTTTTTAGGTTGCTAAGTTGTTGTTTTTTATTTCTTTAAAGGTATACTTAAATATGTACAAGTAAAAATATATATATATATATTTTGTATGCATATATATATATATATATATATATATATATATATATATATATATATATATATATTTGCATACATACATATGTATATTAAAATACGTAGATATGTATATTAAAATGTAAATTAAATACCTTTAATAATAATTTTTTTTTTTTTTTTATGACAACAAACTGGTACTAGAAATTTAAAAAACAAGAAAACTAGATTCACTGCTTGCTTGAATTTAAAACATAGAAGCAAATTTTAATGTTTCAATGAACCATAGTCATAATAACAATTTATGGCTATACATGAAAAAATAATTATTGGTATTCTTCGTTGCCACGATAGCGTGCAATCACTTGCGATCTTTTTAAATTCTTTTATAATTAAACAACATTTGTTGCTATTTTTTGCTCAGACTTAGTAGTAGCAACTTTTTTTTAAAAATTTTTTTTTTAAATACCACTTGGTTTAATGGGAGTTTTACTCAGACTTTTAGGTAACATAGCAAACTAAGCAAAAACTTTCAGTCCAACTTTTATGTAAAATGCTTAACATCATAAGTTAACAGAGTGCTGTCATTTTAGTGATAAGAGTGATTACAAAATAGAAGCAAAGTGCTTTAGGCAATTGTTGATGGCAAGGGCTAATTTGTCTTTTTTTCTCTATGTGATTTATGTATAAAGAAAGTTAATATTAATTATAAAATTGAACTTGCAATAAATGTGAAATATGAAATTTACGAGCTTGTGTTAACTATTTTCAAAACTTTTTTATTTTTCTATTTTTAAAGCATTTCTTTTGATGACACAATTTATTACATGATAGTGTAAGGGTTTGTCTATAAAGGATGTCAAACAGAATCCGAATATTAATTAGAAGTAGAAGATCATTAGCTCTCTTCCGCAGAAATTTTCATTGAACATAAATTACTATATTACTTTGAAAATTGCCCTTTAAAATATTACTATAAAAATCACCTAGTGAAAAAAATATACATATTACAAGAGAATACTCTTAACATGAAAGCAGCAAAGATATATTAAGATTAAAAGTAAATCAAATATATTATTCTTAATAATAATTAAATAATACACACTGATTATTTTATAATATAAAAGTATATAATTCTGAATATATCTTTGGAAATCGAAGCTTAATTTGCCTTGTTGTTGTGAAACCACTTTTGATTTTGTGTTGATTTCATATTCATCTTCAATAAATGTTACAGGTGGTATTTTGTTTTATTTTTGGCGCTGTCCAATCAATATATGCAGCATTAAAGTGGAGTAGAAGAAGAAAGAATATAAGAAAAGGACCTCATACATTTCCGGAACACATTTTAATCTTAGGATAGGTGAGGGGGTATAACTAGGAAATATAAATATATATATACACACACACACACACACACACACACACACACCCTGTGTGTGTGTGTGTGTGTGTGTGTGTGTGTGTGTGTGTATATATATATATATATATATATATATATATATATATATATATATATATATATATATATATACACACACACACACACATATATATATATATATATATATACACACACACACACACACACACACATATATATATATATATACACACACACACACACACACATATATATATATATATATATTATATATATATATATATATATGCATACAAAAATATATATATATATAATTATACCAGGGATGCGTCCCAAAAGGACTGTGGCTTTATAACTTTATTTTTTTATGATTTCTGGATTCCAGAAGTTCTAAACATGTTGGTTGATTAATGATCTGCTATAAGAAAAAAATTTATGATATTTAATGACTTGGAAGTTATTGTTTTTAAATCCGGAGTTCTTGCCGCCATTATACCTAAGGATTCTGTGTTCAAAAAATGATTGTTCTTCTGACCTATAAGTCTTGATTTTTTCCCCATTAGTAGCCCATAAGCTTTTTTTATAGTTTTAAAGCTCCTTGATACCAAAAACTAGAAAGAAGTAATCTTTTTGTGGCTTTTAAATCCTTTTCAGCATCCCTGATTTATACAAAAGTATATATATGTATTCAAAAAATATATTTATATACATAAATGTATATATATTTATTTGTATCTATATATGCACTTATTACTGCGTATTAAGGTCTGCATGGTACTAATATATATCACTTTAATATTTGAAATATTAAACATACTAATTAATAACAAATACTAAATATATATTTATTTTATTGTATTTATATTTTTGTTAATCGAACCTTTTTTTTATTGACATTTTCAAGTATATATTGACACTCCAAAAGTAGCTGAACGAGATCGTTTTTCTCCGTACCCTATGTTACAAGTACATAAAGCCCTTTCAATTATTCTTGGTTCAATCCAGCCAATGAAAAAAAGGCATTTAGTCAATCTCCATGCAGGTAGGTCTAGTGTATTTTTTTTAAGTCTTTATCTTACAGTACTTAAAAAACAGATTAGCTAGATTAGATTATAATTGCTGACTGATTTTTTTTTTCTTCAATAGGTCTTTTAGGAAAAATATTGATGGAAGATATTCGAGCAAAAGAACCTTATCCACCATTCCCTGCATCAGTTAAAGATGGTTATGCAGTTATTGGTATTCATAAATTTTATAATTTATACAAACTAAGTAGTTACTATAGTTACAATTATTCAATTTATTTGCAACCTTTAAGTTTGTAATCTATAATAATTTGGAGAAGTAATCAAGGCAACTTATGCGATGATAAACTCTGATATAACATCACTAATTTAATTTTGGTTATAGGAGGATAGGAGGACCTTGTAAAAATTGGGTGGTAACCAAGTGTTAGTATTACAATTAAAATTTCTTGATCTGAAAAATAGGTTACTTCCAAGACCTCAGTTATAAAATATTGTTTAAATTTATATGTAATTTCATATAAATAAGAAACTGGCATTATGGAAACTCGTTTAAATCGCACAAGTTTGGAGCAATGGCATTAAATTTAAAAATACAAAATAACATTGGTTTTAATTCTAGTAATGTTTGTGAATGAAGTCTTAAAAAACAACATTTTTCAAAGTTTTTGTTTTAAACTCCACTTGGGCACTGTTCAGGGGCCCTATTCACAAAAGGGCCCATTGTAAATTAATTAAAAACATAAGCAAAAGTTTAAAGTAAAAAATTATAAGTAAAAAAGTTGTCTGATTAGAAGAAGAAATTTAAAACAATAAGTAAAAATAAAAAATTATATTTTAAAAAGGTATTTTTAATAAAAAAAAAAAATGTAATTGGACAAGATTTTCTTAGGCAGTCATACTCTTTATTTTGATTGCTACAAAGATAACTTCAATGATTAACTTCAAGATTTTAATAAAGTAACTTCTATTCCTCGATTTTCTGTACAAAAAGCTTTACACTTTGATGGTAATGATAAAAATTAACTGTATGTATATTAGACCACCCACAGGTATGCACCACTTGGGTCTTAACTTTGAAAATCCTACTCAATATTAAAACTATATATGAAGTTTTTGATATTGATTAAAAGAAGTCATTTTTGAATATATTGCTTTATAACATTTACTTTAATATAAACAAATTCTTTTTTTTCCAATTTTAACAATATTTTAGGATGTTTAGATTTGATTTCAGTTATAATATTGTCTCAATCTTTATTTTTTGTTTTCAAACATTTGGTTAAAGTGGTTTAACTTCCACCAAGTGCAGCTGTTTCTACACCTTTATTTGAATAGCTTTTTGCACAACAGCTCTTATCTTATTAACTTTACATTTTCTATATGTAATTTGATCTTTTTTTTTGAAACAGAATTTATATTGAAGTATTTATAGTATTTATATAAATTTTAATATAATATTTATTTGTATTGACATCATAATTTTAAATTAAAAACATTGTAAACAGTCAAATCTGTTCTAGCAGCCAAGTCATCACATTGTTAAAAAGTTGGGCTTTTTTCTGTTTACTAAATTTACTACTGTAGTGCTTTTTAAATGAGCTATAATCGTTTTATTATCTTTTTATAATAGTAATAGTAACATAAACTTGGGTTTTTTATGAAACCTGTTCCTTTGTACTTATTTTTTTAGTTTTTATTTATCTAGCTTTTTTCCACAAACATCAGGGCTTTGGATTCTTGTTATCATGATTAACATGATTCATATAATTTACAAGTTTTAAAATTTTCTTTTAGCTGTTTTCTTACTTTTTAACACATTCTTTTTCCTGATAGCTCTTTAAGTAGTTTGATAACTTTAAATTAAAAAAACTGGTATTTACAGTATAAAAATTCTAACCACTATTTATAATACAGTATAAAAATTTGAATAGTTGTTGCTTTATAGATTTATTAAAATTGAAACCAAAATAACAAAAAATTTCATACTGTTCAACATGTGTTCAGAAGATAATATTTATTTATATTTTTTATCATTTTTTGTTTAAATGTTTAAAATGACATATTTTAAAAATTTGTTTTAACAGCTGCTGATGGTAGTGGTGTGCGCAAAGTTATAGAACCTATATATGCAGGACATATGGTAAGAAGTTTATTACTTTGTAAATAAATAGAAATAAATATTGTAAATAAAAATCTAGATAAACAACATAAGATTAGATAAGCTTATAAGATTAAAAATTAAGGAAAGATTTTGTTTCTGTTTCAACGTTTTTGTTTCAATGGTTTCTTTTTAAAATATGTTTATTTTTAAAGTTCAATGATTTGAAGCTTTTATTATTTTATGGGTGTTTTTTCTATTTTAAGACGAGGGTTTTTTCTTTGTTGTTTTTTTTAGCCCCAGCAGTCGATTTCAAGTGGGGAATGTAGCAGAATCACAACAGGAGCTCCTATTCCTCCAGGAGCAGATGCTGTTGTTCAAGTTGAAGATACAGAAGTTGTTGAAAAGACCAAGAAAGTAAGAATTTTGTATTAAAAACCATAAGTGGAAAAGTAAGACTCAAAACAAAAGCAGATTTTAACTTCTAATTGTTAAAATTTAAAAATTTATTTACAATTTGTATAGTTTACGAAAACTGCGCTGATTTAAAAAAGCTATGCAGAATTTTTCTAAAAATTTTCTGAAAATTGAATACATTTATTTCATAATTAAATACATTTACTTCATAATATTTGATAAAATTTAATAAAAGGTTTTATCAAAGTAGATTTTGTGAATAAGACCCTCAACTAGGAACAGTAATATTAAAAAATGATAATGAATGATGCTGTGTGCTTTTAAGTAATTAATCCATTTGTATAAAAGCAACAAAAAAGTGAAAGCTGAGTTTTGATATTTCATGACAAGCAATTCACATAAAAAATGACATTAAAATAGTCTTTGTGGTGCAACGCAAAAAGTTTTGTATCACAAATTTTTATAAAATCAAATTTAATTGTGTAATTAGTTTGTAATTTTATTTAAGGGATTGAAGTCTGATTCTTTTCATATTTTTATATTGTATTTTAATTTCAATTCAGTTCTTGTTCAATAAGAAGAAATACCAATTTTGGTATTTAATTTCAACCTGGTTGTATAATTTATCATCAACATGTGGTATATCTGACATTTTTTTGAATTTTAGATAAAAATTGTTAGGGCAAAATGGTCAACAACAATCACAATTTTTGACATTCATAATGTGTGTTAGTGACAAGGTTGGGGTCAAATATGTATTTGTATTTAAAATTGTGTTTGTAATTGGTAGTTATGGGCTAAATTGATGTATTTTTATTTGCATTAATTAAAAAAATTTTTAAATATCTCTATTTGTATTTGATTAAAATATATTTGTTGCAGTGTTTTTTCCAAGAGATTTTTTTATATATATATATTTTCAACACTGAATTAAGTTAAAAATTTGTTTTTAAGGGATAAAGACTTGTTTTCATTCTTCTATTTAGTATACTAATTTCTCAGTATTGTATTAAGAAAATATCTAACATATAAATATTTGTATTTGTATTTTTTCCAAGGTATTTGTATTTGATTATTTTTTTAATATTATTAGGGAGATGAAATTCTAGTTAATATAAAGAGCATCCCAGTTCAAAAGCAAGATATCAGGTTTTTTTTTAGTTTAATTTTATTTTAAATATTATATGATTTTGTGTGTTATATATATATATATATATACATATATATATATATATATATATATATATATATATATATATATATATATATATATATATATATATATATATATATATATATATATATATATATATATATATAACACAAATATTGCTAAAAATCCATGTTTTTTGCCTTTTAAAAAATATATATATTTATTGCTGAAAATCCACATTTTTTCCTATTTAAAATATATATATATATATATATATATATATATATATATATATATATATATATATATATATATATATATATATATATATACATATATATATACATATATACACACACACACTCTATATGATTTATTTAGGTTTACCACAGATGGTAAAAAATAGCTTTTACATTGTTTATACTTTTAAAACTTTGACAAAAGTCAGTCACTTAAAGCAAAAGCCAATTAATTCATTGCCTGAACTAATATAATTTAATGTTTTTTCAATAACAACAAGAATGCAAACCAAATTGTCTAAGGACTTTTTTTTTTTTAAATTTAGAATGTTGTTTTATGTTTTTCGTTGTTTAGTTTTATATTATATAATTTTAGTTATTTTATTTTATGTTTTATGATTTTTACGTAGATTGTACACATGTACATACATCGACTATCTAGGGATAGTCAGTCGATGTATATACATGTGTATGTCGATGTATGTACATAGGCGCAGTGGAGTACACATACATAGACTGACCTAAAATGGGAGAACATACAAGGAGTGTGCATGCATTGACTGTCTTAAATTGAGAGAACATCCAGGGAGTGTACATACATTGACTAAGTGTTTTGGTTTGGGCATACAATCTATTAACTTGAAGAAAAAGATTTTTTTTTAACTTTTTTTAGGGTTTTTTTTGTGTATTTTTTTTTAAACTTTATTTCTTGTTGACAGATTGTTTTTTTAAATTTAAAAAAACCAAGCAATTATATATAAAAATGTTTCAATTTTAAATACAAATTTCTGCAAAACAGTATCGTTAAAATTTTTACAAGATGATTTAATACAAAAAAAAAAAAAAAAAAATTCATTTGAGTTGAACAAATAAGGAAAATAAATGGGTTATTTTGATGCCATACATTTAACTTACATTACTGTGCGATTATTAATGAGTATTTCCTCTGAAACAAGTTCATATCTCTGCAAATATACAGGGTGCAAAATTAGTTTCTGTTCCCCTAGTGCCCTTTTTTAAATGACTGTAACTCAGTTGTTAGTTAATATTTTTTATTCATTTTTTCACAATATCTTGCTTATATATAAGCAACATATACAATATGTTGCTTGGGGCTATCGCACATTATATATTGCCTAAAGGGGTTGGAAATTCATTGCATGTCTTCATATTTAATGCCATGTGTTTCATCAGTTTGTTGCATACAGGGTGATTTTAGTCAATTTCCAAAGTTGGATCATAAACAATTGGTTTTAGTTGGATATGCAACTCTAGGAGCCTGGAAAAACTGTTTTTCATTTCGAAAGAACGTTTTTTAAAATACGGTTATCATCATTTAAACAGCTAGCCTTTCATTTATTTAAATTGCCTTAAAATGTAAACAATTTAAAATAAAATAAAATCATTATTTAAAAGTAATATCAGCAGTATTGATGGTGCGATATAATTTTTTTAAGTTATCAAACGAAAGAGTTGCAACTAAAGTTCCATTCATTCAAAGTTTATGCAAGTATATATGTGGCCATTGGTCAATTTATGATAAGTGCAATTATATATGTGGCCATTGGTCAATTTATGATAAGTGCAAGTATATATGTGGCCATTGGTCAATTTATGATAAGTGCAAGTATATATGTGGCCATTGGTCAATTTATGATAAGTGCAAGTATATATGTGGCCATTGGTCAATTTATGATAAGTGCAATTATGACATTTTGCTGTAGAAGAGTTTCAAAATTTTATTTTTTGCCCGAAATCGGATAATAATGCAAAATTATGTTGTAAGAATAACTAAATATAAATGAAAATGGAAAAACTTGTTTCAAAAAACAACCTTAAAACTAAAAAATCATTTATTCATAAATTTGAAACATGAAAGTTTAGCTACTCTAATTTATTATAAAAATGATTTTCTTTTTTGTCACAGTTCTAAATAAATAAATGCTGCATAAACAATATTGAAAGAAATTTTTAAATATTCAAAGAGACAACAGTTTTAATGTAAATTACTTGACAATTAAAGGGATCCCAAACCTCTGAGACATGTTGTGTTCATATTAAAGAGAATGATAAAAAAAATGTTTGAGCTAAATTTTTTTGATTAAAACAAAAAAGAGTAAATGAATACCATGAAAAACTAACTTTTTTTATTTTAGTCGAAGCTCGTCTTCTCCATTTTATTGTAGGCCTAAAAGTTAGTGTAATATACATCGCAATCTACAGTCCTTGATAATTTATTTAAGCGTGTTTTATTCCTAACAGTTTTAGTACATGACTTGTTTACATAATTGATCTCTTGCGCATACAAAAAAAAAACAATGAAAATTTAGCCCAAACATTTTTTTTAAATTATTCTCTTTAATATGAACACAACATGTCTCAGAGGTTTGGGATCCCTTTAAGTAAAATGACAATTTTGTACGTAAAATGCGTACATGCTTCTTAATAAGGCCTGAATAAGTATTAATAGTTTGATAATATTAGTTAATTTACTAATTGAAATGTTTTAAATATATTATTTAATCTCTTTAGTATTATTAACATAAAATTAGTTATTTAAAAATTTAAATAGTTATAAAAAAAAAATTCAAAAAATTTAAAAGTTGATATTTAAGTAATAACAAAGTATAAATAATATAAATAAACTTCCATATACAAGTATAAAATAATATAAATAAAAAAATTCAAAAAAGTTATATTTGTATATTGAGGTCTGGGGGGTAACAATCAGGTTTTTGGTTGACCAACTGTCTACCACCTCAATGATTTTTAACATCAAGATTTTTTCACTAAAAATGTAAAGTTTTGAACATTATACAAAAATATGTAATCATGTTCTTAAGGCAATAATACCCTAGTAAAACATGGATACCTTATAATAATTTTTTAAATAAGTTAAGATGTATTCTGATTGTATAAAGCTAATTGGCATTATTAGATAAACTTCTGGTTTAAAATCTAAAGAAACTAACAGCATGCTTACAATTATGGCCATCAAAATTTAATGAGTAAATGTAAAAGCGTGCATATGAGACAAAAATACCAAATATGTTTACACTATATATTATCCAGTGTTAAATATATATCTACACAATATACAATTGAGTGTTAAATAGAATTGTGGCACTAGAAACTTTACTTTAAAAGAGTTTTTGTGGCACTAGAAACTTTAGTTTAAAAGAAAATTTCAAATGGCATGAAATGTCATTTGAAATTACAATTCTTTTTATAATTGAAATGGTCTAGTTAAATCAAAATTGTGGAAAAGTTAATTAAATGTTGAGTATAATAAAACATTTATTTGAAAACTTGGACACAAGTAAACAAAATGTCATCTTGCGAAAAAAATTAAGAAACAAGAATAATGCATTTTAAATGAACTACTCTAGAAAAAAGGTGCCACCAAAATGATTTTAAAAAGTAAAACAATTAGATAGTTTTATGTGGGGATACTGATAATTTGATAGTGTCAATTACAAGAGGTTCTAGTATAAAGTTTTATCATTAACAAAAAATCTCGAAGAGATTCTTATCAAATCAAGTAATTAGTAATTGGAATAGATTAGATCAATCAATTGTCGAGTCAAAGATGCTTAAAAAATGCAAATCGAAGTTAGATTTTCATATAAATTGGCTGGTAAAGCATAGCTTAGCAAGACCCTGTACTTTTTGTACAGTTATTATTGTTACGACTTTGAAATAACTCGACTGTTGACTAAATCAATTAAGTTGTTTTTCAAAGTCGACTAAAATTGACAAATATTTTGTGGAAATGGACTAAGTTGATTTAGTCAAAATATTTGAATTATTTTAAATTTTAATATTTAAATGTTGCTCAGCTTTTTTTTTTCTTAGATGAAATGAATAGAGCTTTAAGAGATTAAACAAAAAATTAGGTGGTAATATTCTATTAATTTAAATTTTGTTATCTTTGACGAAACGGAAAATTAGTAAATTATTTTTATAAAATGCATAGGGACATAAATTTTCAGATATTTTTATATTCATATTTAAATAATTGATAATTTCGTTGTCTACTGATAACAAATCTTCTGATGACACAGTTTTATCACATAACAATATTTTTGTTATGTGATAAAACTTTTGTTTTGTTAGTGTTAAAACATTTTGTTGGTGTTAGCTGCAATTCATTTCAGCTCAATTGAACAACTAAAGAATGAGTTTTTTAATACAAGAGATTTTCGCTGTTTTCGATATAAATTTAAAATTACAAAATTGCGTATCTAAATATGTAGCTGCGTACAACTTTTCAATTTTAAGAAAATCCTCACATCTTCGATTAAAATTAACTTTGAGTTTGATGGCAAGATTCATAATTGTACGGTTATTTGATTCACTTTTAAAGTTGGCAAAGTAATCAGTTAATTTATAAATGGCTGGTAATATAATGGAACAAGTAGTATATTTTGATTTGCCCAAAATTTTTGTAAAATCATGTATTGGCTCTAATAAATCACCAATGATTCCAATGACTTGCCAATGATTTCCAGTTCCCAGCTTTTTAATAACAAATCCTTATTATCTTTGTTCTCTGGCTTGATAATGTCTTTGATCGATTTGCTAAGTTTAAAAACTGACTGCAACATTAAAAGGGTTGAATTCCACCAAGTAGCAATATCTTATTTTAATTTGTTAATTGAACATTTTTCTTTTTGATTGTCAATTTTCATATTATTTAACTCAACATAATTTACAAGTTGAGCAGAAAACTTATTGCTATGTTTGAATAAGCCAACGAGTTTCCTACATTTCCTAAAAATTAAGAAATCAGTTGATAGCTCATTCTCTTTTACAAGAACATCTTTAACAATTATATTTAATATATGACAAAAACAAGGTAATTACAATTTATTAATTAGATCTTCTAGACAATGTTTGATATTCGCAGTAGTTTCACTACTGGTTGAAAGTGTTTTATCACTTATTTTCCATTCATTTAGAATTAACTCAATTTGCACTTTTAAATATAGGCTAGTATGGGCTTTTAGGCTATGCTTTAATGTAATCCAAATTGATTTCAAACAAAAATTTTGATCAACAAAAAGTTCTGTGGTATCGGTGTATAAATGTCAGGCTTGTGATGTCCATCCATCTGTGGTTAGATGGCAAAATTCAGCTTGCTTTAAAAGATGCATTACTTTTACTTAAAATGATTCAAATTAAGCGACACTATATCATACGAAAACTTTTGTCTCGTCGGTAATTTGTACTTGTTATCAAACAAAGCTAGCATTTTAATAAAATACTTATCAACAATTGCAGCGGTTGACCTGTTTGAAGAACAAAGTTACACATAGATTCCTCTAAATCTCTATATTTCTGCAAACTTGAACAATATAAGTGAGAGTTTGCAAATGCAGCTTTGATAGACACATGGCCAGTTGTTGTACTTGGAAGTTTAGACTCTATATTAATCCGATGGTTACTATACAAATGATTTGCCATTGAGCTTGTATTTTTATTGTATTTTAGCTATTTGTTGCAAATTTTGTTTTTTATTAAAGTATCTTCATATTTACAGGTTGTTATTGTAGAGTCATTGTTTTTCAAAAAATAATTCCAGACTTTTTATGAATGTTTCAATTCAACATTTTATTTCTACCATAAAAAGAGAATAAGAATAAAATAGCTATTACAATTTAGTCAAAGAACAGCTTTTAAGTGTGTTCAGATAAGAATTCCTTCATACAGATATAATGTCCTAAAGGATTTTCATGAGTACCTATCATTATTATTATTAGATTTATTCTAATAATTGTTAATTTCTAAAGGGAGTTAAAACAATTGTTCAAAATGTCCATTGGGAATTATTATTATATGTATCAATCAATAAAAAGAATTTGATTGAATTGACTTGTTGAATTTTAATTGAATTAAAACAGAGAGAATTTAAAAAAAAAGATTCTCTCTGTATTATTATATCATTTATCAAAACAATTTAAGCAAAAAATTTGTAAGACAATTTTTGTGGCATATCAAAGTGGAAGCTGGTAAAGCACTACATACAATAAGCTTAAAGCTGAGTTAATGTGAAACAGCAAATTAGGTTGAATGTTCAGATATTTTGGTTGAATTAAAAACCCAGCTATAAATAATGATTTTGCGCATGGCTCAGTTTTTACAAATATTTTATCTTTATAAAATAATCTACTTATAAGGATATATCTTTACTAATTGGTCAGCATCATAATAAAATAAAATATTGACAAGGTTAAATAAAACGAAGAGATAAAGATAAGAATTTTAGGACCCAGCTAAATCAACTTTTAGTCGATTAGTAGAAAATCTAAAGTCGATTAAATCGATTATTAGATTTTTCATAGTTGACTAATTTCGTATATTTCAATTTCATATCAAAATTGACTAATTTCGACTTTCGACTAGTTGACTTTTAGTCAATTTAGTCAAAGTCGATAACAACACTTGTTTAAGTACCTGACATTAATCTTGTTTTAATTTGTTAAAACCAAATATTTTATAAATATTTGGATTTAACAATCTTTAATTATTTTGTTCATTTATCTACATTTTTTTTTCTCTCAAAGTGTCAGAATGTTATATTTAAAAGTTAAATTATACTTGAATATATAACCCTAATGAAACAAAGTTTTACATTCTATTGAACTTTACTTTTGAAGAAAAAATTGTATTTATAGTTTCCTTTCAGTAAATAAAAAGTTTTAAGCTTTTTTCTTTAATATAAAGTTTAGTAAAAATTCTTTAATATTTTTAATTCTTTAAATTTTGATAAAAAGTTATTTTTATTCTTCTTTATTTTCAATTTAAAAAACATAATTTTATAACTCTGATTGATTAAAAAATATAATTTTATAACAATAACAAATAACTCTGATTAATTTGTATTCATTTATCATAAATTTGAAAAATCTAAAATAAGCGAGCAATAAATTTGATTAATAATTTTTTAAACATAACGTTTTTGTGTGAAATAAGCAAGCAAGTTAAATGGAACTAAAGTTTTTGTTGCATAATTGATAGGGTTATTTATAAAAATGACTGTATAATGTACAAAGGTGTAAAGATCTATTTATATAATTCTTTTTATAGTTAGTTGTATTAAAAATGCAATTATCTGAACACAAACTTGCACTAATAAATTTCTCTCAATATGAATCAATATGAATTTCAATTCTCTTGTTCTTCTGCTGACTTTTTAACCGTTATATCAGAAAGTTCATCGTACAGATATCAGAAAGGTTCTATCATGCATTAAATAAAAAGGGTGATGAGGCAAAGATTATTAGTTTTGACCAGAGTTATGGTGTAACAAAATTTGTTTACTTTGTTACTTTCTGCAGTACTTCTCCATGTATTGTGTTACATTTACAACCTAATCCTTTTTTTACTTTGTGATGAGTTTTCATGGTTACTTTTTTTACTTTGTGATGAGTTTTCATGGTTACTTTTTTTACTTTGTGATGAGTTTTCATGGTCGATTTTTTTTACTTTGTGATGAGTTTTTATAGTGACTTTTTTTACTTTGTGATGAGTTTTTATGGTGACTTTTTTTACTTTGTGATGAGTTTTCATGGTTACTTTTTTTACTTTGTGATGAGTTTTCATGGTTACTTTTTTTACTTTGCGATGAGTTACTTTCAGAACAAAAGTACTTAAACTTTATTGGTTTGAATCAATCGTATATCACGCTTAATATCATGAAACCAAAACCGGTACTTCTAGACGTAAAGGCACAACACAATAATCAAACTGTCTATTTGAAAAACTATTTAAAAACATGAAAAAATGCAGCTATGCTATTTAACCTATCCTCTCATCAGCAATTTGCATGCCACTCAATAAACTCATGATCTTGCAACTGCTGACTATGATGCAGCTTTCAAAAAAGATTATTAACCAATCAAGGTAAAAAAAAATGCAAAGCTAATGGTTGTAATCTAGTGTAAACCTGCCAGTTTATTACAATAAACATAAGATTGATTGGTGGAGTGAATGTATGCTTTATTCCAAGCTGATTTAAAAACTTATTTCTTGTATGTTAATGTTAGATACATTCACATTTGTGACTCGCATAAGTACTTTTTACTTTGTAACTAAAGTATTTTTAAAAGACTTTTTTACTTTTACTTAGGTATTTTGGTATTTACTTTGTTACTTTTACAGCCAGTATTTTTACTTAAGTATTTTTAAAATGTAAAATTATAGTATTGTTGACAACCCCACATTGATGAGTGGAAACATTCTTATTAAGCCCTCTACTTTGTCTTCTAAGATTATTATTTACTACTGACCTTTCAAAAAAACCAAATATGCAAACCATTACAAAGTTAGCAATCTGCTAAGGTTGCCTATTTTTATTATACTTGCCAGTTATTTCTGTTTCTGATGTCATTCTCTATCTCTGTGAATCTTTTGTCCTTGTATTGAATTCTGTTGTCTATAAAAAAAGAGAAATTGATTTTTTAACAGTTTTTTAAAATCATTTTTATTAAAGATGTTTTTGGAAAGTATGATCATTATTTTTGAAGTTTTTTAATAATTTTGCTTCTTTTTGACACTCAGGTTGACAAACTTTTATAGAAATTTTGATAATATTAGAGATCTATCAAATCTTCCAAAGCTTTGCGCTACCCCTAACAATTTTTTTTAATCAAATTCTCCTTCAATTTAGTGTTATTTTACTAAATAGGACAAATATAGAGGGTGTGAACAGATAAATGAGATGCAATTAGAATACTGTTTATAAAGTTTGTGGATTAGCATAATGAAAGTTATAAATAATTATATGATGTTAATTTGTTGTTTTTAAACTAATCTTAAGTCAAATAAAAATCTTGCTTTAGGTTTTAATAGTCAGATGGTCCTGTATTTTTTGAGCAATAAAAAGTTAAATCAAAGCTAATAGTTACTTTAGAGCTACATCAGGTCTGTATTTTTTGATCAATGAAAAGATGAGTGTGAACATACATCATAACTGGTTTAGTCAGATTGCCCCGTATTTTTTGAGCAATAAAAAGTTACGTTAAGTTAAGTTAGATAAGTGTGAACATACATCATAGCACATAAAAATCTTGCTTTAGGTTTTAATAGTCAGATGGCCCTGTATTTTTTGAGCAATAAAAAGTTACATCATAGCTGATAGTTTAAGTAAGTGTGAACATACATCATAGCTGGTATAACTGTTTTATGATTTTACTTAAGGCCTATTGGTTTTGATATACGTCAAGGTGAAACTTTGTTGTATGCTGGAGAAAAACTTGGCCCATCGGAACTGGGGCTGCTAGCTATGGCAGGAATTAATACAGTAATTATTGTTTTTACATCATAACTCGTTTGTTTATTTTGTCATCATAAAAAAACAATGTCATTATTTTTAAGGTTCCTGTATATTCGCCACCTTCAATTGGAGTTTTTTCAAGTGGTGACGAGGTTTGATTTTTTATTTTTATTGTTTTTGGTTTTTGATAAGAAATCAACTCTTGAAATTTTTTAATTTTTTTGAAATAGTTTTGTTTAATTAATTTCAGTTTATTGCCAATAACCACATTTATGGATAAAAAAAAATTAGAATTAAAAATTAAAAAAAAATTTATTTACCACAATAAAATTTATATTTATTTAGTGATGACAGTTTCAACAAAGTCTTATTCACACTTGAATAAGACTTTGTTGCTAATGTTAAGCATGAGTAAATACTAAAAAAAAAAGTTATAAAGCTCAGCAAACTCATCCCATACAAGAATTAATAAGAATATTTTGAAATTTGTAAGTTTACTTACAAGGTTGCAAGCAACCTTGTAAGTAAACAAGTAACTTACAAGTAAGTAAACAACTCACTTACAAGGTTGCAAGCAACCACTAATTATGTTGCAAGCAGCCACTGATAAAATTGGGAGTTAATAGAAAGCAAAGAAAAGAGTTAAACATACATATGTTTGGAGTGAATTTATTTTTAACAAATTCACTTATAACAAGGCTGCAAGCAACCACTAATTAAAATGTAAGCAACTACTAATTAAGTTGAGAACAAAAAGCAAAGAAAAGAATTAAAAACCAAAAAAGTGGCTGAAGAAAACTTTTAATTGTATGAAAATATAAAGATGATTAAAAAACTTTTTATTGTATGAAAACATTAAGATGGAAGAGAATTCCAAAACAATGATATTATTTTGACCTTATTGGTAGTTCGTGCTTGTGTGATCCCAAATCTAATTTAGGGGCTCTGGTAAGAATTTAAAAGCTTTTTTAGGAGTATTTATAATCTTTTAGAACTATTTTGTTCATTATAGAGTTTGCATAACCTAAAAAAAAATTAATGTAATTTAAAAAATGAAAATAAAATCATGTGATGTTATATTACTATAGTTAAAACTTTTGGATTTTGCTGATTAAACACGTGGTGTAGGTTTTGTTTTTCTTACAAAAATAGAAACTTTAAATTTTAGTTAGTTCCCCCTGGAGAAGAAAAAGGAAAAGGTCAAATTTATGATTCAAACAAGATAGCTCTTATTGCTGCTATTCGTGAGCAGGGATTCAATGCAGCTGATTTGGGAGTACTTCCTGACAAGTAAGGTTTTTGCTAATGGATTTTATCTAATTGGGTTTTTCAAGCATTTTTCATAAAAATTAAGTTTTTCAAGTTAAAAAGTTATGCTATTTAAACTTATGTTACAGAATGTATGTAGATATGTCATAAATATATATGCATAAATATGTTAATACAAACTTTAGTCCTTCTCGATTGTGTGAAGTTCTTCTAAACATAATCGATGATACTGCACATCAAATAGTTATCACAACTGGTGGTGTATCTATGGGAGAAAAGGTAAAAAGATTTTTTTTATATATATTTTAAAGTAGCGTTGTTGCCAATAGGGGAGTAATTTGCAGAAAAATTCAATGTAAAAAAAATGTTTCTGTTCTCAATTTCTAAACTTTATTTAATAATTTGGTTTTCTAAATTGTTTTAAAATAACAAACAAACAACAAATAGTCATCGAATCTTTTATTGAATTCTAAAAAATATAGAGCTATAAAAATTAATTCTGTAAAAATATAGATGAATATTTTTAAAAAAGTAAGGTTCGTTCTACTTATTAAAATCAAAAAATAGCTGAAAAAATCTGGCTAATGACTACGTATGTTGAAAATCTGAAAATGGTTAAAAAAAACTTTCCTTTCTTGCTTAAAATTTTGGCCCCTTTGTTTAATATTATGGCTATATCTCTTACAGATTTGGCTTTGTTGCCTAAAATCATGGTTATTCCGCCTAAAATCGTTATTTTTTCGCCATTTGTTTCTTGTTTTATTTTTATTGTTTAACTCTAAACTATTTGCTTTATCACAGGATCTTATCAAGAAGTTTTTAGAAAAATTTGGCGACATAAAGTTTGGTAGAGTGAATATGAAGCCAGGGTATGAACATTTCTCAATTCTAAGAGTAACAATTTTAACATATTCACTATAATATTTTAGACTAATTTTAAATTAAAAAAAACTTTCCTAAGCTAAATTAAATAATAAGAATTTTTATATGATTTTTTTAATATTCAGAAAACCGACTACGTTTGCTACAATCAAACGTGGTTCTATCACAACGTATTTTTTTGCTTTACCTGGGAATCCAGTGTCTGCAATCGTTACTTTCTATTTGTTTGTTTTACCTGCTATCAGAAAATTAGCCGGTTTTAGTAAACCAAACTTGCAACGTATACAAGCGCGGGTAAGTGGGTTTATTTTATACTAGCATTGTTTACTTTTTATTTATTTTAGTATTTTTTTTTTAGGGCAATTCAGTTGCCTCTCTTTATTTGTATTTTATTTTAGCATCATTAGTTGTTTTTTTTTACTTGATTAATAGCGCTATAATAATCTTTAAATCAGTAGATTGTTTAGTAGTGTTTTTAGTGAAAAAATAGTAATTTTGTTATTAATTTACTGATTTATTTTGTTAGTAATTTTAATGATTTTTTTTTTCGTTTAGTTAAGTTTTGATATTAATTTGGATATTCGTCCTGAATATCATCGTGTTCGTTTAAATTGGGATACTGATGATGGTGTTCCGCTCGCAATTACAACTGGAAGTCAGTGTAGCAGCCGTTTACTAAGCATGCGTTCTTGTCATGCGTTAGTAGAGATGCCTAGTAACGAAGCTGTACGAAATCTTACTAAAGGCAGCTTGGTAACTGCTCTTTTGATTCCTAAGCTAATAACTTGACAAGTTCAAACGGTTGATTGAATTTTCTGGTATATGGCGTTTGAGAAACGTCGTAAGATCTTGGTGATTTTTATCGAAAATCATCAATCAGTTTAGTTTATGGTGAGATAATTAGTATATACAAGATATTATCTTTTATCTCTATAATTTTTATAAGTGCGAACAAAGTCATCGGTTGTTATGAGAAGAAGTGCTCAGTTGTTCTTAATTTATGCTCATATAATCTTGAAAAGAATAACTGAGCATAAATTAAAGGTGTTTCTTTACTTGAGAAGAGTAATTAATCGTAATATTTAAAATAATTCTTTATTTTTTACATTTAGTAACACTTTTTTTAAAGTTTTAAAATATTTAGATGTTTTGATAGTATTTAATATTTTATCGATATAATGAATTGTATTATTTTTTTTATATTTGTTAAACGTTTTTGTACTATTTTTGTACTACTTACGTAGACTTGAAAAAAGTGTAAAAGTGCTTTTTAGTTTTATTTCGAGTATGACAGTTTTTCATCTTCGAGTTATGAAGAGCGATAAAATCATAAGGATCTTAAGCCAACATTTTGTTAACACTACAGAGCAGAACAAGTTATACTTTACATGGACAAGTAGCAGTTTTGAGGCGGAAATTTATATTTAGTGTTGAATCCCATATTTGCACGCGTTAAAGGCTACGAGTTTAAGACTCGCCGTTCGGCTGGTAGTAAGGTTTCCCAAGCTCTGTGGTAGCTCTCGATTATCAGTCCTAAAATATCAGAGTATTAACAGTACCATGTTGCGCATGAGTGGTGTCCCTTTCAGTGCTTTTCGTGCGTATTGTTAAGGTCACATATCAAGCTCTAAGTTACAGCTTTAAATTAATTAGTTGGATTGAGACAACTGCATAGTTCGTGCAAGGGTTACCATACTCTATCTATAATCGAGTCAAGTTTTTTTAACTTAAACATGACCAAAGCGCCCAAATATCACCATAAATGAACTGTTTTAATAACTTTTCCAAATATTCCATCAGTAAAACCTTACCTCTTGCAAAATTCACCAGACTTACTTGCCCTTAGAGAGAATATTTTGAATCAAGCTGTTGCTTCTTCGGATCCCAGTATTGATGGATATTATCCTTTGATTCGCAAGACTTCAATAGTCACATGCTTGGCTTGGGCATATACTTACACATCAATTAACTTATTTTTGTCAAGAAATCAGGTTTGAATCATCTGACCTTTCTTTTATCAGTTTCCGCTTAACACTTTATCAGTTAATTACCTTTCTCTTTGTTTTTTATCGTTCTTTAAAAAATAGTAACTAGTGGTGTATAAGTTGCTTTTATGAATGAAGGTGTATTACACACACACCCTTCCGCCCCGCCCCCCAAAAAAAAAATTTAAATGAAAATTTCACAAAAATTGTTAAAATGCTTTTTCAAACAGAGAGAAATTAAGAATAAACCAATGAAGAACGTGTATGACTTATATATATTGTTTTAATAAAATTATCAGTTGATAATACTAGTTAACAATCAATTCAAAAGAAAAATTTTTACCCTTAAACGTTAATCTTAATGTTATTATCATTTAGAAAACGATTAAGGTTTTACATTTATCAATGTTATTTTTGTTGTAGAAATAGTTGTTAATACTAGTATTTTGAAAAAAAAGATTAAACTTACTACCTGTTGGAGAATCCAAAAATAGGTTTTATTTATTTTTTCCATTTTCATATAAATCTAATAATAAAAATCGAAACAATACATTATTGTAGTAATTTTTGCTTATAAAATCCCCCCGATCCGCCCCTGGACTTCGCTTGCCCAAAAAAAACAGAAAAACAGCAATTAGGTACCAAAAGTGCTTCACTAATTAAATAATCTGCTCCTATTTATTTTAGGGCCGTCCCGAAGAAATTTTTATGGGGGGAGGGGGTGGCGTATCTGTTTTTTGCCGACTTATGCCAAGAAAAAATTTTTCGACGACTAACTTATCTCTAAAAAAAAAAAAAAGGTCCCCGTTTTCCGACATTTGCCGACTGCCAACTATAGATCCCATTTGCCGACTCTAGTCTCCAATTTGCCGACAAATAAACTTGTTAGGGGGGCTAGAACCCCTCCTTGGGACGGCCCTGTTTATTTTTCGGTAAAATTTGGCATGTGCATAGAAGATGCATGTAGAAAACAATTTTACAAATAAAAAAAAAAGGTGCTCAACATTTCTTCGACTAAGAATTAATATGAGAACGTACAAAAAACATTAACAAACAAATCATCAATTAAATTGCAAGCTACGCAATCGTCCCCAGATGTTCTTGAGTTTTTCCACTATAGATTAATGATAATTAATTTTTGTAATTCTATAGTGGAAAAATACAAGAACATCTGGGTGCGATTGCATGGCTTGCAATTTAACTGATGATTTGTTTGTTAATGTTTTTTGTACTAATTTTGTAATGGAAGACCATAAAATAACTCCCAATGTGCTTCGAAACACCTTTAATTTCTTACAATCAAACAAAAGCCCAGGGTTTGACGACATCAACGCGAATGTTGTAAAAAGTGTCTACAATATAATTGAACATCCTTTTCTGCATATTAACAACATGTTTTTAAATCACAAGATATTTCCTAAACAGCTTAAGATGGATAAAGTTGTTCCTGTATTTAAAAACAGGGATGATTCTATGGCTTCTAACTATAGACCAATTTCTATTTTACCCAGTTTTTCGAAAATATTAGAGCGCATAATGCACAATCATCACCAGGGCCGTTCCAAAGAGATCTTCCATTAGGAGGGGGGGGGGGGTTGTTGTATGTATTTTATGCCAACTAGAGACACAGAAAAAAAAAGGTCCTCAATATTTGCAATTTAATCTGATTTGCCCTGATTATCACCTCTTAAATAATAATCGATATGGATTTCAAAAAACACACTCAACAGAACAGGCTGTAGTCAAACTAGTAAATGAAATTTTAAATGGAACTGATAAAAAATAAATACATTCTAGGGGTTTGATAAAAAATAAATACACTCTAGGAGTATTCCTTGATTTTTCAAAAGCATTTGACACTGTTGACCATGAGGTTCCTCTCTATAAATTAGATAATTATGGAATAAAAAACAACAATCAAAAATGGTTTCGCTTCTATCTTAATAATCGAAGACAAGCTTTATCGTATAACAATACTGTTACACAACCTGATAGTATTACCTGTAGGGTTCCGCAAGGATCAATTCTAGGGCCATTGCTATTCCTTGTTTATATTAATGATATCTTCTCAACTTTCATAAAAAACTCAACTTTGTTCTCTTTGCTGACGATTAATGTTAATGTTTTTGTGGCTAAAAGATACGCAAGTATCTTTTAGCCACAAAAACATTAACTTTATGTTTAATACGGTTAATCAAGAGCTAGAAAATCTAAACGAATGGTTTAAGGCCAACAAACTCTTGCTAAACGTAGAAAAAAGCAAATATATTCTTTTTACTTAATCTTCTGGTTCAGACACCCTCCCATTAAGACTTCTTAAACTGCTTATCAACAAAACTAAACTTAAAAGAGAATACTCAATCAACTTTTTATGTGTAATTCTTAATGAAAGAGTTAGCTGGAGTAATCATATCAAAAGTGGAAAAGAAAATATCTAAAATTATTGGAATTATTTATAAACCAAAGCATCTTCTTAATACAACTTGTTTAAAAAATATTTATTTCTCTTTTATTCATAGCTGCATGAATTACTGTAACATAATCTGGGCGAGTACATATCCAACAAAGTTCAATGCAATTTAAAAAAAAACAAAAACATGCATGTCGCTTAATATTAGACGCAAACAGGTACACCAATGCCAAACCTCTACTAAGAGAACTTGGAGTGCTTAATGTCTTCGAAGTAAATATTCTTAACATACTACTTTTTATATTTAAGTTAAAGAATCTACTACTACCAAACACTTTCCAATTTCAATTTATTTCTATAAACCACAAATACCAAACTAAGTACTCAATTAACAACTTTGTTATTCCAAAAATTTTATTAAAATAAGCTGGCTTCTCAATATCTTACTGAGGGCCACGATTATGGAACCCGATTCTAACAAGTAATATAAAGACTATAACTTCCACTCTACATTTTAAACGTGAAACGAAACAACACACATTCAGTTTTGATTATAATCTATTGCTAACTTACTTTTAAAACCTTTATTTAACCATAGTTACTTAATATCTTATATATTGATGCAACACGTTTTTATTTTGTTTTTTCAATAAGTATTCTCTTCGATATGTATGGATTTCAAAGTTATGTTATTATATTGGCGTAAAATAAAAATAAAAATAAATAAATAAATAAATAAAAAAATCAAAAAAAATATAAAAATGAAAATAAAAAATAGAACGATGTCTTCTGCCAGCTCCAGTTGGAATTTTTCAAAACTTTTATATTGTTATGTTGTAAAACATTGTAAAGCTTATTTCAAATAAAATTACAAAATAAAATAAAAAAATAAATGCCGTTTTATAATGTGATTTTAAATTTTAATTTTAGAACTATAGTTCTGAGTAATCTGTTGTTGTTTTAGAGCTAACTTGACTCGCGAGTCAACTTGACTCGCGTGTGAATAAATAAAAGATGGCGTATAATACGAGATTTTACAATTGTTTTATTCTTGAAAACTTATTAGGAACTTACTGAGTATTTCGTTTAATCCTGGTAATTACTTATTAGGATTAGGAGCTTACTTAGGAACTTACTAGGATTAGCAGGAAATTCATAAAAGTCATCTGACTAATGGGAAACTTAATAAGTTTAGCCGTATTTGGCGAAAATTTACCAGGATTAGCCATATTAGCAGGAACTTAACAGGATTAACAGGAAGTTAAACAGATTTCTAGTGGCATTAGCCGGGTTTTTTTTCTCGGAATACTTTTATTATGTTCCCCTAGAATCCCTATCTTACCCTTGACGCTTTTTTACGCTATTTGAATACTCCCTGATCCTCCAAACAAGCGTAAGTACTTTAAGAACAAATAAAAATAAGCTACCATAAAATTATATTTATAAAAATGCTAATAATAATTCCAGAAGAAAACCCAGTGGTCCTGTATTCTCGTGATATCATAGTTTTTGCAGCGGCTGTGGCGCAGTGGTTGGAGCGTTTTACAGCGGCCATGGCGCAGTGGTTAGAAAGTTTGCTTTTAAAAGCTAGAGAGCCACGGTTCAAAGCAAGCTCTGTTCATACTTTGCGCCATTGGTAAGAAAGGAAGCAAGAAGTTTCTCTTTTAATGCTCTTCCACGGTGCTCTGTGACAAGACCGTTAGATCTTCTTAGGGCACCTAAAACAAAAATTAAAAAATAAGTTATACAATACTATATTTAAAAATATAAACAGAATTGTGGCTTAAAAAAAGTTACATATTTAGATATATACACCCCATTTGGAGAAGGATCCAGCAATTTTAAGGGGTTCATTTACAAATTGAAGGGTTCTTTTTAAAATGTAAAATTCCTTTTTTTAGTAATACCTAGCAGTGACAGATCCAGGGATGTTATGGATGTTGAAATATTTTTGTATTTTGTATCACATTTACGTCTCCTAAAAAAAAAAGTCCTCTATTTATAAGATATTTTTGGACTTTCAGATTCTGGTTGGGATGGGGGTATGCATCCCACTACCACCACCACTACCAAAATCTGAAAGTCCTAAAATATCTTAGAAATAGAGGACCTAAATAGAACTATTAAGATACTATTCATGGTACCAATAGATGATGGAAAGATTAATTAAGTTAACAAAACTCTTATTTGATCTTTGAAACATAAAAGAATACGGTACAAAGTTCAGAAGTTTTTCTGAGAAGTCTATTCAGAGCAGAGCCGTCCCGAAGGGGGACGTAGGGAGTGTCTAGCCCCCCTATAAATTTTTTTAGTTTTAGTCGGCAATTTGGACGCTAGAGTAGGCAAAATTGGATTTATAGTTGGCAGTCGGAAAATGTCGGAAAACAAATGTTTTTTTTTTTTAGATAAGTTAGTGGGCAAAAAAATTTTTTTTAGCTCTAGTTGGCAAAAAACAGAGACGGTATCTCCCCTTTAAAATCTCTTTGGGACGGCCCTGATTCAGAGAGCTTAAAGAAAGAGAGCTTAGAGAGAGAGGAAAGCTTAGAGAGAGATAAAGAGCTTAGAGAAAAAGTGGAACCATTTGAATCTATTTGTATGCATGTATTTGTATGATATAAACATATCAGGTGTTTATTAGCGAACGAATTCAATTTTTACTCCGTTCGTAACGCCGATTTTTACGCCGTTACTCCTCATTCCTACCATTTGCCCTTTTACCAATGTTGACAGATTTCCTGTTTTCAATAAAATGGCTAGCGTACGACCTTTACTTTCACAAATAAGATTGTTTACATTTTAGAGATAGCAAAACATATTATCAGTTTTTTTACTAGATTTTTTATTTTTATTTAAACAAGTTTTTTTGTTGTATCAGCGGTTAAACTAGAATCGTCTAAGCTGGATTGGTTTTCTAAAATGCCTGTAAAACTTAAAAAAGATAAAGAAAAGGTAAGTTAATTATTTTATGCATAACTTTCTTATTTTGAGATTTTTGTGTATCTCTGGAGTTTTTTATATTTAGTTCATATGCAGCTTTAACCAGTTTAGATAGCTTAGTTCTTACAATTACCGGTTTGTATGTTGCACATTAAAAAAAACATTAGATAACTGATTTTTTCATGTTTCAATTATATAACATTTGGCTAGGTTTGTGCAAGATGATTATATTGTGCAAAAAATTTTGATAATACCTTAAATGCGAAAATAACTACTAGTATTTTTTTCTAATACACGTTGTACTTTTAATGCAAAATCTTTAGATATGATAAAGTGTGATAAAAATTTATTGCTAAGCATAAAAAGCTAAACTTATTAAGTTTATAAAATATTTAAATTTTAATTTTATATCAGAAGTTGTAAATAATATGCAAAAAGCACACAACAATATGTAATAAGTGCAGAATTTATCTACTTTAAACATGAATACTTATTGTACTTTTGGATATAGGTATTAAAGCATAGCAAATTAAAAAATGTTAGGAATAGTTGTATTATTAAAAAAATTTTAAAGAAAGGTTTTTTTTAGAAAAGTAAATCTAAATTAAACAATGTTTTGATAAAAAAAATTGATTTTTTAGAAATAATATATCATGTATTTTAATGTCTTGTAATCTGAATTTTTATATTATGCATCGCATCTTTAGTACTGTAGATGGGGGTAACTAAAGCCACTTTCGAAATTCAAACTTCTGCCCAAGTCAGACCCTTTAATTTATAGGTTAAATAAATATTGCAAAACTTGGGTCTGTGGTCATAAATTAAAGAAATATATTCATAAATTGCAGAAATATACATTTTTTTAATAAAAAAAAATGAAAACATGGTGGCTTTAGTTACCCCTGGAAAAGGGGTAACAAAAGCCATCCATTAAAAAGCAATGTTGGCTTTAGTTAGAGAGTGCTAGGTTAGGTTATAACCTTTGAAAGGTTATAGGTTATAACCTTTAAAGGTGTGATGAAACATAAATTGAGGTTATGTTTGTTGAGAGTTATGAGAATTTAAGATTAAAAATGATTTGTTCAGAGCAGAAGTTATGCAAGGTAACTTTTTTATCGATTTTTTAGGTTAAATATATAGTTTTACTGTACACTTACCGTGATATTGTTTTAATAATCCAGACAAGTATTTGGAAAGCAGTCCAAGTTCCTATTAGAAGAACACAACATCAGCTGTTGAATCCAAACAGTGCTGTCACTATCACCATCCAAAAATTACCTGCTATAATGGCTTTAGTTTCCCCGTAGGCTTTAGTTACCCCCATCTACGGTAAGCAAACTAGTAAAAACAGCTTCTTGTACTTTATTATTTTCATATTTAAGTAGTTTTTGGGGTGTAGTTTTTGCAAATTCTGTTTTAGGTGTTTTCTTAGTATATTTTATATTTCCAAAAATGTCAGTAACTCTTAGTTTCAAAATACAGTAAATTGCAGTGTTACTGTCTCCTACATAATTGTTGGATAACAAGAAGAATAATTTAAATTCATGGTGTGCATAACTGGTCCCTAACCAGATTTAATAAGTCACAATTTCTTTAATTTATATATATATATAAATATATATATATATATATATATATATATATATATATATATATATATATATATATATATATATATAGCTCTATTTTTTTGCTCTCAATTGCTCTGTTCTATAATGAGGATTGAGCACTTTATTTTGTAGAATATGTTTAAAATTATTTGTGCGTGTGTATATATATATATATATATATATATATATATATATATATATATATATATATATATATATATATAGTCTCTGGAATGTCAACAAAGTTCTCTTCTCTGAAAAAGGCTTTAAATTAAGGTTTATTATAGTCTATATATATGTATAGCCTTCAGTAAGAAATATTTCTATAGGACTTAAACTATTGGAAAGACTAATGAAATTACAAATGAAATAAAAAAATTAGTTTTAAAATATGCAAGAAAAATCTTTTACAGAAAGATTTTTGAACTTTATTATGCTTTAAAATCAGGAATAAGTCGCATTATCAAGAGAATTTGTCAGTGAAAGATCTAAAGTTACAACTGATAAGGGTGATAGATTGTAGGTAAGGTATTCCATGAATGATTCTCCCAAGGTTGCTTGAAAATAGTACAATGAGATGTGAGTTTCATGACACAAACATGTCAAAGTAATCTATTTGACTTTTTGTCCAGAATAAAAAATGCAGATTTCTTGGACGAATGCAGTTTTATTTTTTAATAAAAAACTCTAGTAGGAGTAAGACTTAATTTAAAATATCAGTTACTTACTGTTAAACATGGAAGAGAAAATGTTATGGTTTAAGGGTGTTTTAGTTGTGACAATGTGGGTCACATTCATTGCGTGAAAATTATTATGGGGACAGACAGTTTGTTTAGATTATATAAATAAAATGGATTTTACAATAGTGATCCAAAGAATTGTTTTGAATCTGTTATTACTGTTAATAATTTTTTAAGTCACGAACAATCAAAGCTCTTGAATGGTTATTGTATTTAAAAAAATTGATGATATTGTAAAAAATGCGAAACGTATTGTCTTATCTAAGTAAAAAATTTGAAGCTTCGATTTTAGATTTGTCATAGCTCTCCCCTCTTTTGATAATTTCTGTTTGCTAAAATTACCTCATCTTCTTAGTTTCGCCATTTGTATAGCATTAGGTACAAACGTCTATAAGTATAAACATCTTTTGCATAAGTTAAGTTTGCCAGGCATATATTGAATGGTTGTGTATAATATATGTATTATATATGAGAAAACTTCAAATTTATATATTAACAATCAGAAGTTTTTTTTTGCTATATAAAATTTTTTGCAATAAATATATACAGCAAGATAGAAAAAATTTAAAAATTTATCATGCTTTGGGGAGGACTTGAACACCCCAAAACAACACTGATGACAGTGCAGTAAACTATAGGATGGCAAAAGAAATGCATCTAGGAGTAAAACAAACAATTTTATAAATCTCTTATAAGCTCTACATTCGTGGAAAAGGTGCACTTTTTAATGTTTTCCTTCTTAAAGCAATTTTTTAAAATGAATTATTTTACTAAAAAATATTGAAGTTTTTTTTTTTTTTTTTTTTTTTTTTACATTATTCACCTCCCCAAGGCCCGAGGGGGCCACTACAGTCGAGGAGGCTACTCATTTTTTTGTGTTTTTTTTTATTTTTTTGTTGTATTTCGTGGTATAACCCTCTCTCAACTCTTTAACTCCGAAACACGAACCTTGACAAGCGAGGCCGCTGCGCGGAGAAACTAAGTTGAGCGCGGTACTTCCAGGGACGTGGTGGGAGTCGAACTCCGAACCTCTCGCTTACAAAGCGAGCGCTCTTACCACTACACCACTGCCGCAAGTAGATAAGGAATAAGTATAGAAATGATCGGTGGGGGATAGATAAGTATAGAAATGGTTGAATTGGTGAATACCTGTATTTTATGGGTCTGGACTGCTAGGATACATAAATAAAGGTCCAGTCAGCTAGTATTTAATTTTTAATTTAATTTCAAAATAGGGTTGAGCTTTTATCGAATATTTACCGGTAAATGGGTAAAATTGTTTTACTGATTTACCGGTAAAATTGTGTCAGTAAATTTCAGTAAATGATTTTTACTATATTATAAATTAAACATTTGAAATCCTCAATTATGAAATTAATTTTCTTTTCTTTGCTACTTTTGTGAATAATATATTGCTGTAAAATGAAGTTATGATTTTCAGCTGCACCTAATAGAGTATTAATTTTCTTATTGTTTAAAATTTCATTATTTCATTTTTTTATCATGGTAAGAAACCCACATATTATTCCTAATGTTATGTATACTTGTTTATTTGTTTGTCTCTATAACAAAAATCTAAAAAATGAAGATGGTAATCAGAATTATTATGCTCAAAAATGCTTAAAAATATTTTAAAAGGTTTGAAATGGCTTAATTAATTAAAACTTTAATAATCACTTTCCTAAAAACAGCTCTTTCATTCCATCTGCCATGTGTGAAAAAGGTTATGATTTTCCAAAAATTCACAAGCAAGCAATCCAGTCAGTTAAAAAATTTACAGCTGGCATGAGAAATGACCTTAAAAACACTTTTAAATCTTTAGTGACCACTGGAAAATGCTTTTCAATTACACTGGATAAATAGACTTTTTTAAAAAATCGAAGCTACATGAATATTAATATTCATCAAAAACACACATACTGGAATCTGGGCGTGACTCGAATTTCTGGATCACTGCCAGCTAAAAAAGCTGCAGCAGTTGTCACAGAAAGTGGCCGAATTTGGGTTGAACATCAGCAACAACATTGTCTACTCAGTTATGAATGAAGCTTCCATGATGTTTAAGTTTAGAAAACTGGTTTCAACTGAGCATCAAGCATGTTAAACCCATGGGATTCATTAGTTCAAGAAGTAGTTCAAGAACAGTGCTGTACAAGAAGCCTTTCCAAAAAATTGATAACAACACATTGCAAGTAACAAGCGACAAAGAAGTCAGCAGTGTCGAATCCGAATCTGACACTGAAGTCAGATTCGAATTTTCAGGTTTCTTGTGAACAGGCTGAAACAACAAGATTCAACTCTTTGCATTACAATGAAGAGTGCAATTTTAAGGTGTTTTAAAGAGAGAAGGCAGAGCAACCTTGTAAGCTTGTAAGCCTTTCCAATCCAGAATGTTTATCCGACATTGAAGAACATGGAATTTTCAAAATGCCTTTGAAGTACTTTAAGACTGCCAAAGATTTGTTTTCTAGACTATTCCCAATGAATCCAGATAACTTAGAATTTATTCAAGAAGTGTGTGACTCAGAAAATCTCAATGAAAATCCACTTTCACCTAAAGATGAATTCGAGGAATCAATTCCGCATTCAGCCAAAAAACAGCGCCACAATTCAAACGACGAATTCAAAGCCATTTCAAAAAAGATGTTGGTCTATGAAGCTAATGGAAAAAGAACTGCCAATCTTGAACTTTTGTTCAATGCTCTGGAGACTATCCCTCCAACAAGTTTTAATCTGAGCAAACTTTTTCTGCTGCTGGATTATTTGTGACAAAAATTCGATCCAGAATGAATTACAATTTACTTGATACATTCTGTTTTCTCAAAGCTCATTTTTTATCAATATAACAATTACCAATTAAGATGTTAGATCTGAATCTTATAAAGACTTTATTTTAAAATGAAAAAAAATTTTATACAAGTTTCTATGATTTATTTATTTTTTACCGATTTTACCAATATTTTGTAAATTATGCTTTTATTACTGATTTACCTGTAAATTTTGGTAAAAGGTGGTAAAAGCTCAACCCTATTTCATTAACCATTAGTATTTTTTTTAAATACTAATGGTTAACAATACAAAAACTTTCAAATATTTCTGTCAGAAAGATCAAGTAAAATAGACTTATAAACATTGACAGAAATTTTTTTTATATGTTTTCATTATTGTGTACTGTTGTTTTTAGAATTCTGAAAAAAAAGACAAAGGAAAGGAAGAAGAAAATGTAAGTTTTATATTAATTAAAATCTTTTTACCATACTGATAAGAAATAACACAGTAAATGTAAAATATCCACTTTGCAGCATTTTTTTGCTAGTTAAACCAAAGATTAAATTATGAAGAATTTTTTTATAGATACTGAGTTCTTTCTTATTGGCGCAACATAATCTTTTTCAAAAAAATTTGAAAAAATAATTTTTCTTTTATTTAATGTCTGCTCAAACAAAAAACACTTAGTATTTGATATTTGTACACTCCACTTGTACCTATCCCTAGATAGTCAGTTGATATATGTACACTCTGCTGTGCCAATCCCTAAATAAATCAATAAAAAAGAAAAATAAATTTAAATGAAAAACAAAAGCAAAAACATTCTGAATAAAAAAAGATTCAAGTGACATTTTATGTATATATATGCAGAGGTCAGAGGCAAGATAACTTGACACAAGCCTTGCTCATAACCTAAAGTAATGCTTAAGAGTCCTACTCATTATGTAAAGATTTTCACATTTATTGAACCCAATTTTCAATAATAAGTTGTCCAACTATGACCTCAATATGAAAGTTTTACTTTGAATGATATTTGTATGCTTAGCATATAGTTTGCATCATATTTTCACCATTACCTTTTTAACTTTTTTTTATCTACACCATATATATATATATATATATATATATATATATTATATATATATATATATATATATATATATATATATATATATATATATATATATATATATATATATATATATTAATTTAAAAAAATTTGGTTTTGTCGACCTCGTTTCGATGTTTTATGGTAAGACCTTTGTATTTGCCGATCTCTAAAAGATTGAGTTCAGCAAGTTATTGCCGACCTCAATTTTCCTAATTCCGAGGGTTGATATATATATATATATATATATATATATATATATACATATATATATATATATATACATATATATATATATATATATATATATATATATATATATATATATATATATATATATATATATATATATATATATATATATATATATATATATATATATATATATATATATATATATATATATATATATATATACTCTTGCATGGTAGTCAGAAAGTTGTTCCCATAAACTGTAGTTTTAAAGAGCACGTTAATAAACCAGACCAGAAAAAGTTTAAAAACTTTAAAAAAAAAATTTTTTCTTAAATGATTGACTGCCTGCTTAAACCAAACCCTCAGTCAATGTAGCAGCACTCCCTTGCGAGTCAGGCTATTTGTCAGTCGATGTAGAAGCACTCACTTGCAAGTCAAGCTATTTGTCAGTCGATGTAGCAACACTCTGTTGCGAGTTAGGCTATAAGATAGTTGATGTAGCAACACTCCGTTACCAGTCAGGCTATAAGATTTTCGATGTAGCAACACTCCCTTGTAGTAGCAGACTATAAGATGGTCGATGTGGCAACACTCCGCACATGTTTAAAAATTTATTTTAACTACACAACAACAAAAACACCATTAATTAAAAAAACCATTCTAGTCATTATTATTGCGGTTTTTTTAAAAAACAATAAAATTTAATGTACTTCCGCATTATATGACTACGCATATAGTTCTTTGTTTTTACAACTTGACCACAGCTCTTTGCAAGTTTTGATAAATAGCGCGTTTAAAAAAAGCGCTAAAAAATAAATAAAGCAATTTTTAAATTAATTGATTCATTATTACAATTAAACTCCCACAAAATTTCCTGAGTACTTTAATTCAACTTAATTAAAGACAATCATTGAAAAAAATATTTACATTAGAGTTTAAGGCAAAATGAGTACAGAAGTTATCAAAAGATAATTACAAACCATTTTATAATGAAAATATAATTTCTAATTAAGAAATTATTTACTAAAAAAAAAAAGGAATTACAATAATCTTGAAACAATCGCATCTGGCAACTATTTTTTATCCCAGGGCGTGACATATCCTTTTTTTTTAATGAACGTTGACTTGCGTATCTTTATTTATTGACGAACGTCAATAAATAAAGATAATTTAAGAGATTTTTGTCAAATAAAATTCAAATAATTTTTATTCTAGTTAATAAGTTATAAAATATATCAAAGATGCTTGGTAAATTTATTCAATTTTTATTTTTCAAAAACCTTTTTTTTACACATTTGCAAAGTGCGCGCAAATTAATGATAAATGCACAATAAAAAAACTTTTAAAAGTGCAAAAGTTTTAATATGTAAACAAACATTTCACTTTATGGAAAATAAGAAAGTTTAAAAAATTTTTATTTATTGTTAGATTTTATTTATTATGAATACATTTGCTTTAAACTTTTAATGTAATTGCTAAAAACATAAAAGAAACCATCGTTAAATGTTATGATCGTTTTTCTCAATAAAAGATAGCAATCAAAATGTTTGAGCATGGTTTCTTTTGAAGTTTTTGCAAAAGCATTCATTTTAAGTAAAATTATGTATGCTTCTGTGAGCGCATGCAAAAACCATGCTAAAACATAATTACTTTTTACTATAGCGTATTTAGTAATTTTACTTAAAAGTGACGGCATTGAAAAAAAAACTTTTTGGCATTAATTTAAGTCTGTAAAATTAATTGTTTTTCATATTAAATGTATTTTTTATAATAAATAAAAAACTCATGACCGCAAAATTATTTTGAAAAAAATTGCTGAAGTAATATGTTCGTTTTAAAAATCCTAATCAAACGACAACGTTTGGATAAACAAAATTAAAGAAACGTGATGTTTGTTTTACTGTCTGTCTTTTAAGAAATGCGCGCAAATTTGTTGATTTGTCACACCTTGTATCCTATTAATATTTTTAAAAATATTTAAACTTGCACCACAAAACTTTATTAAATTTCATGGCACTTTTAAACAACCTAAGTTACTTACATTTTTAAACATCAATTTCTAAAAAAAAAATAAAAAATTTGAGGGGAGGGGAGACCCTTTCCTTCACAATGGATTCGCCCTTGTATTAGCCTAATTATTCAGGGAAGGAATGGTAAAGATTATTAGAGCTTTGATAATTTTTTATTTATACTTTCGCTTACAATTAAGTTTACATTAATTAATAAATGCTTTGATTTTCTGGTTTTTCCTTTATTTATTTTATTATTCATTTAATATTTTATTTTTTTAGGTTAATTTTTGTTTTATATATTATTTTAAGGATTTTATTCTCTTTTCAGTTTATGGATTGTTTATTTTAATTTTAATTAGCTTTGTTTTTTTTAGCGCATTTTTAAACGCGTTAATTATCAAAACTTGCTATGAGCTGTGGTCAAGTTGTTAAAACAAAGAACTTTATGCGTGGTCATATAAGGCGTGCAATCGCACACCTCTTATGAGAAGGCCTGTTTATATATATATATATATACATATATATATATATAAATATATATATATATATAATATATATATATATATACAGGCTTGGACGGGAATGGCGTGCGATCACGCGCTTTGTTTGACCACGGGAACAATAATTTTTTTTGACAATTTAACCACGGTTGCTTTGACAAATAAAACGCTTCAGAAATGCGTCGAAAAAAACTAGTAAAATTTACGAAATAACTTTTAATCGTTTACCTTTTTCAAAGTTTTTATATTATGTGAACACCTTTAAACAAAATAACAAATTACTTTAAAAGATTGCTTAAAATAAACAAATTATTATTACGAAAACGTATACGAAACTTTTATTTAAGTTTGTTTTCTAACGCTTAAAAGTATTTTTTTATGTTTTTATTTTAAATCTTTCAAACGAATATTTTGTTTTTCAAAGATTATTTTTTGAGCGAATTTTTATAACGAAAGTAATGAATAAGCTCGAAACTTTATGAACGACGATCTTTAAGATCTTCTTTCAAAACGTTTTGAGATTATTCGTTCACAAAAATCATATTTGCTTAAGTTTGTATATTATGTGAAGGCATTTAAACAAAGTGAAAATTACTTCTAAGGATTACTTTCATTTCGTTTATATCACCAAAGAATATCTAAGTTTTTTTGCATTATTATATTTATAAGCATGTTTTTTTTTTTTTTTTAATGTAAACGTTAGAATATACCTTTCCATGTTTTTATTTTAAATCTTTTAAACGAATATTTTGTTTCTGATAAATGGTAGGAATTAATAATTTTTTTTTTAAACTTTACATGCGAAACTTTAAAATAAATCTACTAAGTGTTTGTAACGATTATTTTAATTAGACGCTTTATTAAAAATATTTAAAAATGTTATTTGTAACATTTTTTTTCCATCCACAAAGTCTACCGTCACGCTAAGTTGAACTAATTCCTTGTCAAATAATTAGTTCTCCTTCGCGGAGATATTCATTTAACATAAGCAGGTAAACAATAGACGTTACTCTTTAAAGTCTTTGCGCATGAGAACCAATGCTTTTAAAAAGCATTTGCTCTCTTGCGCAAAGATTTTAAAGAGTAACGTCTAATGTTTACGCCGTTATGTTTAATGAGAATTTCCGCGAGAGAGAACTAACGATTTGCATGATAAGTGCTTACGATAAAAGTGTATGATAAATGTAAAAGTTAAAAAGTATTTTTTTTTGTCATGCAATGTTTATGAATCTTTTAAACGAATATTTTATTTATTACTTTAAATTACGACATCAAAAATTTTGAAACTTTATTAAAAAACTTAAAAATTATAGTGTGAAGCACTTATAAATAAAGTGACGAATTAATTGTTAAACAAAATTTAAATTAAGAAAAATCTTATTAAATAATTATTATTCCGATGCATAACAAAATTTATCGGATTCAAAAAATGCAACTAAGAAGAAATATAAATTTATAAAATAAAGCTTATTGATCAATAATCCAACGGATTTGATTAAAAATATATATATCAAGGTATAACAGCCCTATTCTGACCGTTTATTCAGCGGTCTAGCTACGACTGAACTCTTGCTGGAAAAATGTATTAACGCTCAGCCTGACAACAACAAAAGACCTAAACGTTGTAGCAATAAAGCGATTCAATAGTTTAACTTGTTTGCAAAAAATAAAGTAACAAAAGATAAAAGTCATTTATTTCTAACGTTAACTAACGTAACTTAAAATAATTGTCGCTTTGAGTTAGTACTTTTACAGTTTTAGTTTTCTTTTCTCTTCTTTCGTTGGAAATGTGTAAAAAAAAAAAAATACATATTTTTTAAATTGTTCTCTATAATTTAATTTAGTTTGGTTATTTTAACGCATTTCCCATAGGCCGAAAAAACGTATTTATTAGTCAAAACATCAAAGCAACCGTGGTTTTATTTTCAAAACATTGTTAATATGTGCGTGGTCAAACACAGCGTCCGATCGCACGCCATTCCCGTCCAAGCCTGTATATATATATATATATATATATATATATATATATATATATATATATATATATATATATCAGGGCCTATTTCAGGAAAAAAAAATTTTTTTAAATGAGGGTGGACTCCGTCCCAGAGAAATTTAGCAGAAAATCTGTGTTTTTTCAAGAAAAAAAAAAATTTGCATTAACTTTAAAAAAATGTTTACATTGTAAACATTTTATTAAGTCAACTTTCTAACTTGCTTTCCAGACAACCCGAATCATTTACCTTCTCTACTCGACTTATGTCTTGTTTTTGATCCTAGTCAGTGCTCAGTTTCTCCACATCACCTTTAGGTGCCTCTGATCACAGTTTGATCTCTCTAAAACTATTATTTCATTCTTTTTTGTCATCAGAATCCTCCTATCATCGTACATCTTACAACTGCCTTAAAGCTGACTGGGACTCTTTCCGTGATTTTGTTTGTGATGGCCCTTGGGTAGAAATTTTTCGTCTTCCTGTTGACAAATGTGCTTTTTTAATAACTTTGTGGATTCAGGCTGTTATGGAATCCTTTATTCCCTCTTGACGAGTCCAGGTCAAGCCTCATTCTTCTCCATGGTTTTTCTCGCATTGTGCTGCTGCAATTGGCAATCGAAACCAAATCTTCCATATCTATCAGCAAAATAATTTTCCAGAAAACAGGCGTCTATTTTTTACTGCTAAGAACCATTGTAAAAAAGTTTTGTCTAACGCCAAAGCTCGCTATTGTCAGATCATAAAATCTTGTATTTCATCACCTTATCAATAATAAGGGCAAGTCTGTAATTCCACCTCTTTTGTATGGACTTTGTCTGGACTTTTGTATGGACTTTTTGTATTGACTTTGTCACCTCACCTAAAGACCAAGCTGAATTATTTGCTAAGAACTTTTCATCAATATTATCTCCTGATTCTGCTAGTTGCATTCTGCCTGATATAGCTGTCAAACAGGTTAATCCATTGCTTGACATTTGTATCACTCTAGCTTCTGTATCTAAAGTGATTTCTTGCTCTGCTCTTCTACAGCTTGTGGCCCGGACAACATACCTGTTATAGTCTTGCAGAAGTGTTTTCTGGAGCTGTTGTCTATCCTTTCAAAACTATTCAACAAGTGCTTATCAGAGTCTTGTTTTTCAGCTTACTGGAAAGCAGCATTTGTTATCCCTATTTTTAAAAATTCTGGAAAGCGATCTGATTTGTCTCTGTCCCATTAGTCTTTTTCCTATCATAAGCAATGTTTTTGAATCTTTAATTAACAAACACTTAATCTCTCATCTTGAATCTAATAACTTACTTTCTGATCATCAGTATAGATTTCGATCTTCTCGTTCTGCGGCTGATTTGCTAACAGTAATAACCGATAGGTTTTATCGTGCATTAGATAAAGGTGGAGAGGTTAAAGCCATAGCTCTTGACATTTTTAAAGTTTGATAAAGTTTGGCATGCTGGTCTTCTCCATAAGCTTTTTTCTTACGGTTTATCTGGAAACGTAATTAAGATTATTGAATTCGTCCTTTCCAATCATAGTATAAAAGTTGTTCTTGATTGACATCACTCTTCTTCTTATTCTGTAACCTCAGGGGCCCTATACTCTTTTTAATTTACATCAACGATCCTCTAGATATTCTCACATATAAGGTGGTATTGTTCGCTGATGATACTACCATTTATTCTTGTCATGATAACTTCCAACACTAATTAGTGGTTGCTTGCAGCCTTGTTGAAAGTAAAGATGTTTAAAAAAAAGCTTTTTAAACTTTAAACTTTTTATTGTGTATGGAAGAAGGAGGCAGTTTAAGACAGGGTTAGTTTAGGACAATGTGAAAGTTTAAAAACATACAAACTTATTTACCAAGTTAAATATTAGTCAATCAGAAATACTTTTGCACGTAACCATCACAGTTTTTTTTTCAGGAAAGCATTTTTTTCTACAGAAGTTTTATGATTTTAAAGAGTTTGCTAGTAAAAATGTTTTAGATTTTTAATAAAAGGAACATGTTTTACAAAATAAATTAAAAGTTCAATTACAAGACATTGATTTTTCATAAAAATTTTGTGGAGTATATTAGAAATCAGGGTTGAGGAAGCAACTGACAGTTTTCATTGGGCACATTTGGGCGTACTGCACATCCCTTAACAATCTTAAAGGCAAATTAAATTATTAAAAATTATAAATTAGGCAAGGTTTAAAATGGTGCAAACTATAAAAAGAAATGTGAAAGATTTATAAACAACGAAAAATTAAAAATTGCAGTAAATTGTATTTTTAATAAAACTATGAATTGAAACAAAACTACAGATATATTAAGGTTCTCTGTAATTACATTGGTTTACAGAATAAAAATGCTTAGAAATAATAAAAAATTAAGCGGTGAAGAGGTAAGTTATAACTTTTCCATCAAGTTTTCTATTTTCACATTTATAATTTAGTTCATAACATTCAAACTTGGTTGAAAGTTTTGAACTTTAAATTTTCAATTAAAGTTCATAACTTTATTCATAATCTCTTATTTTTCAAAAATTATGACCATATAAAGTTTTAACCCCCCTCAGTTTGAGGGGGCTGTAAACTTTGTAGGGTCATAAAAACTAAACACTGAGAGGTTATTGCATGAAATTTGAAATTTGTTGATGAATAAACTTAAATAAAAATAATAAATTATTTTATAATTTTGTTGCTCCCATGTTAAGGGCTGGGTGGGCCCAAGAATTGAGTTTTTTTGTCCCCAAGTTCCAATCATCGCAACTCTTTGCAAAACATACTTATTTGACATAAGCATGAACATACAAAAGTTTGGAGTTTACACAGTGCCTGTAAGTGCCAAAACTCAAACATCTAAAAATCTAGTGTACACCACTGAATATCAAAGGATTTCAAGTGTCTGATCGTTGGCTTGATTGTTGGAAAAACAATTATGTTTTGTTGAAGACAGTATGTGGGGAGGGTAACTTGTACAGCTAATATGACCATGTCATGGAAGGAAACAAATCTCCCTACAATTTTGTCCAGGTATAAACTTGATGAAATTTATATTGCAGATGAATTTGGATTATTTTTTCATATGCAACCTAATAAGTCACTAAACCTTTGATCTGAGGCTTGTATAGGGAGAAAGTACAGTAAAATTTTCAAGATATCGGGTGTTATTACTATATTTTTATTATAATATACAAGAAAATTAATTAATGGTTTGAGAAATATATAAAAATAGTTCTGTTATTGAACTAGCTATGTTCTAAATGTATCCCCATTATCATTATTAAAAGTATTCTTATGTGTCCCCTTCTCCCCATATGACTCTTAATTGTATAATACTCATTGCACAATTCACACTTAAAATATTTTAAATTTGCATTGTGCAATCTACATTATACAATTAAGAGTCACACACAATCAAAGCTGTTATAAAATTGTAAATAAGTAAATAAGTACACTCCAATGACTTAAGTCAGAGGAGGAGTATTGTTTAAATTTAACATGATAAAAAGAAACCACTGGCTAGTGTAAACAAATTATTTTTTAGAGTTTTAAATAGCAACCCCTGGCAAATTGTCAGACAAATCCCATTGAGGTTGCGACCAACAGGTTAGGAACCCCCAATATATGTTAAATACATTTACAGAATATATTAGGACATTGTTAATCTAAATACACAAGAATAACGACACATATATAATACAGTTTGTAGGTCCTTTGGACCACACTATATTAGAAACCTATCTAAAAAATAGTTTTTTGCTAATAAAATGTGAAAAATGTACATATGATATATTGTATTTTGTACATATATATTGTATTTATTGATATATTGTACATATGGTATATTGTATTTTTGTATTTATGTATGTCTACATACATGCATAAATACAAACATATTGTTAAAAAGTTTTTATATAATATTATTTTATGATATATTTAGAAAGGGAAAGCAAATCTTCCACCTCAAGTTCCTGTTGTAAAAAAAGCTGGACCAGCTTCTGTCCAAGTGCTAAAGCGAGACAATCGTCAGAGTTCTTCATCTTTTAATATTAGCAAAAATAGAGAGTTACAAAAGTTACCCCTTATTAAAGGTAATTAAGTTGTTTACTTTCAAAACTTTTTATATTAATAAATTTCTTTTTTGAAAATTTAAACTTAATAAAAAGATAGAATTAAATCATATCTTCTTTGATCCTGAATTTCCTTTAAGTATTTAAGAACAGCAGTATCAATTCAATTTTAAAAGATCTGGTAACTAGTTATAACAATAGCAATGTTTAAAAAATCATTAATAATAAAGTTATTAAAAGTTTTTTTAATGAGCATTTTTTTGGAATAAAAGAATGGATAGTATTCTTCAAATATTGGTAGCATTGGTTTTACACTTAGTTAATTAGCATATATATTATATATATATATATATATATATATATATATATATATATATATATATATATATATATATATATATATATATATATATATATATATATATATATATATATATATATATATATATATATATATATATATTATTATTATTATTGTTATTATTATTATTATTATTGCACTGAAGTGCAATATCCGTATAAATATATATAAACTTATCAACTAAGTTTGAAAAATAAAAGTTTTTAGTTTTAGGTCTAATCTTATAGTTCGAACCCTGTGCAGCTTCCATATTCCTTTTATCAATTTCCCGCTCTGTATAATTTAAACCAGTATGGTTTACATATAAATTAAAGTTTAGTTTAGCTATTCCTGGAGAAGGAGGTTGGTTATTAGGCCAAATGTCATTGAATGTAGAGAGTTTTTTTTTTCTTTTCTTTTGTCTTTACTTCCAGCAAGGCTGCAAGCAACCACTATTAGAGTAGGAAGTTACTGGAAGAGAAAATATAAATTTTTAGAGCAAGATGACGATTGACAGACGACTTAAATGATTGCAAATTATATGAATCAGGAAAGCAAGATAGATGAAGCAAATTCAAAAGAACTGATGTTCAAGAAAAAAAACTAAAGAAATAAGAATTTTCAGAGCACTTAGGCACAGTCACTGTAAAAGGATGAAACTTAATTGGACAACGAGTAACACGAGAATGAATTTTAGTAGATGGCACAAGAGATGCTAGCTCTTTAGAGCAGTGCCTATTATAGTATTTATAGAAAAGAGAAAGAGAAGCAACATTAAACGATGTGATAGTAATTGGAGGTTGGCTGCAAGTGTAGGTCCAAATATGTGTACAATGCATTTTTGCACCTTGTCTAAAAGAGAAAGGGCCCATATATGGCAACAGTATTCTATACAAGGACAGATTTGAGATTTATAGATAAAGAATAAAATCTAGAGTAAGAAAGTGGCAAGCACAATAAAGAGATGCAACCTTAGCAGATGCTAGTTTTGCAATCAATTTGATATGGTTTCCAAGAAAAATCAGAGATAAGAGTTAATCCTAGAAGATGAAGGATAGATGCCTCATCGTATAAGTTACCGTTCATAAATATAGGAAGATCTAGATTATTGTGACAATGATTAGCTCAAAAATTGAGCTTTATTTGAATAAAAGTCAGCCACTGAGCCACTGAGAGCCCCATGCTGTAAAAGTGAGATCTTTATCAAGCTCAAATGCCTCCTTTAAGCAATCAGAGAGTGTTGACTTCTTATCAAGACAAGAGTTAATATCACTAATAAACAACGCCACCTTAAATGTGAGAAATCTGTAAGATCATTAATGAAAATTAAAAAGAGTATAGGGCCAAGAATAGAACATTGAGGAACCCCTGAAGTTACAGGGTATGAAGCAGATGGTGAGCATTGAGGACAACTTTTATACTACAATTAGTAAGGAAAGACTCAATAATCTTAAAGATGTTACCTGGTAGACCGTAAGAAGAAAGCTTATGAAAAAGATTAACATGCCAAACTATATCAAAAGCTTTAGAAAATTCAAGAGCAATAGCCATAACCTCTCCACATCTATCTAATGCATGATAAAACCTATTGATTATTATCATCAACAAATCACCTGTAGAACAAGAAGATTGAAATCCATATTGATGATGAGAAAGTAAGTTATTAGATTCAAGATGATTAAGTGTTTGTTAATTAGAGATTTAATAAGCTTGTTTTTGGTAGCAAGAAAACTAATAAGACGGTAGTTTGGCAAATCAGATCACTCTCCAAATTTTTTGAAAATAGGAAAAACAGGTGCCACTTTCCAGCAGGCTGGAAAGCAGCATCTGTTATCCCTATTAACAAGGCTTTGACAAGCACTTTAAAAAGAATCTGATAAGCACTTGTTAAATAGTTTTGAAAGTATAGAGGAAGAACACTTCAGCAAGTCTGTAGCAGGTATGTTGTCCAAACCGCATGAAGAGTCTAAGCAGGATCACTTTAGATACAGAAACTGGAGTGATATGATGTCAAGCAATGAGTCAACCTGTTTGTCGGCTTTATCAGGTTGAACACAACTAGTGGAATCAAGAGGTGATACTAATGAAAGTTCTTTGCAAACAATTCAGCTTTGTCTTTACGTGAGATGGAGTAACAGATTTGCCCTTATTATAGATACTGTTAAAGATTCTCCAGAAATCACAAGAGCCTATTTTTTGAGATAAAATATGAGCTTTCAAAACCTGAGAATAGCGGGCTTTGGCGTTAGACAAAACTTTAGAGAATTGGTTTGCTGATAGATATGAAAGTAACGGTTGCTATTGGAAATTGCTGCAGCACAATGTGAGAAAAACCAAGGAGAAGAGTGAGGTTTGGTTTGGAATCATCAAGAGGGATTAAAAGATTCCATGCCATCCTGAATCCAAGAAGTCACGTAAGAATCACATTTGTCAGCATGAATTTTATTTATCCCAAGGACTATCACTAAGAAAATCATGGAAAGGGTCCCAATCAGCTTTAAGGTATTTGTAAGAAGTACGATGATAGGGGGATTCAGATGATAAAAAAGAATGAGATAATAGTTTTAGAGAGATCAAACCATGATCAGAAGCACCTAAAGGTGAATGTGGAGAAACCGAGCACTGACTAGGATCAGAAACAAGACATAAGTTGAGTAGAGAAGGTAAATGATTTGAGTTGTTTGGAAAGCAAGTTGGAAAGTTGACTGTTTGTGTTAGAGATTGAGATTGAGAAGCAAAAGTTGTGGGCCTTAACGTCTGCAGAGTCACTGGCATTAGAGCCAAGCTGTTCAATCTGATGAGCATTAAATTCGCCAACAGCAATGATATTGGCTGATGGATAAAGAGAGAGTGCTTGGTCAATTTGATTGGAAATAACATCGAAAAGAATGCAGTCTTGAGATGAAGGAGAGCAATATAGAACAAAGAGATAGACAATAGATTGAAGTGGTGCTAAACGAAAGCACATAAAAGAATAGTCTGTGGATTCAAACCTAGTTTCCCAACGAATGGGTAAATTCTTACAAATGTGAATGCCCAAACTAAGCATGTGACTATTGGAGTCTTTTGCAATTAAAGGAAGATAACCATCAACACTAAAATCACAAGATAAGACAGCTGAATTCAAATTAGTCTCACAAAGAGCAAGTAGGTCTGGTGAACTTTGCAAGAAATAAGACTCAACAGAAGAAAAGTTATTTCAAAGACCACGAATATTAGTGAAGATTTAGAGAACTTAGTGATGACGATCATTTTTTGTGTTTTACATTTTTTGATAATTTTTTGATATTTTTGAATTTGTTAAAGGACTTGGCTCAAAGCACAGATAGTACTCAGTACACCATTTAATAGTCCAAGCAATTGCCTCATTACTGTTAATAAACCCTAAGACATATCAAAGGGTTCCAAATGTGGCCTTGACAATGCACACCAAAAGTACGAATAGGGACACCATCCATGTGCAACATGACACTGTTAGTAATCTGATATTTTACAGCTGTTAATGGAATCAGGCTCTCTGAGATCTACCACATAGTTTGGAAAACCTGTCAACTAGCCAACCTCAGAACCATAAAACTGAGTTTTAGAGATGTATCCTCATTAGGAGATAATAGGATGTGTTGGCTAGTCATATAAACAGAGACACAAACAAAAAGCCAGCCTAATAGATGAAGTTTGGTTTAAAGCTGAAATAGAAAAGTTCTTTTTAAGCAAGAACTTAATCTAACTCAACTAAAAAACTTTGAAAACAAAGTTATGTAAAACATATAATATTTATGCTTGAAATTAACACCATATTTGATGCGATGAAAATTATTCTAGGCACCTAGAAAAAAGTGACAATCCAATGACTTAAAACAATGTTTGTCCACAAAAATGGTGTATTGCAAACACAAGCAGCTTGAAAAATCAAATACAGCCAGTTATATATCAGCAAGTCATCAAAAACAAAGTCCTTAATCAGACCTAAAAAAAAGAAGATTTCATTGAGACTTTATGACCAAGTAGGATCAGCTAGATCAATGTGTGGTTGACTTTTTCAACATATATTACTCTGATATTTATTACTCATGTTTCTCTAACACTGGCAGTCAAATTTCCAAGCCCACTGCAAAAATATATATAAAAAAATAAAATATATATATATATATATATATATATATATATATATATATATATATCAGGCCTTGGCATGAAGAAAATTGTCTATCGCAATGTTTTGCGCCCGTAAAACTCAAATATTTTTTTAGCAAGCGCAATTATGCATTCTGGTCATTAAGTTATTGAGAGCGATCTTTTTTTTTTTGGAATACAGGTGTTCCACACAATTTTATTAATTTTTAATTTGTTATACGACATTCTTAAGACGATAAATATTTTAAAATTTTTTAAAAATTTTACTGCCTGACAAAATGTTTAAAATTCTTTCGACTTTATAAATACTTATTTATTATTTGATCACATCTGATTGTGTTTTTTTTTCTGCTTAGTTCTTAATGATCTTGTTTTAAAGAATAAATTTATCTTTTATGTATTTTTTTTGTTATTGTCTTCATTATTAACTTAATACAACAGTCAATTTTATTTTATTATTACATCAAATTTATTTGAAAAAATTTCGTAAGCTTTTATTTTTTTCATTATTTTATTCGATTAAACATTAAATATAAATTCATAATGTTTTCGCATCATTAAAATATTAAAACAATGAAATAACGATTTCTTTTTGTTAAAACATATTTAATGTTTTATCGTTGCAAACGCTAGTAGAACTTTTATAACTTTTTTAGCAAATGTTTTCACAATTTAAACTTTTCTTTTTCTCAAATAAATTTGTAATTTTAGTTAAGTTATAAATAATATGTTATAATTTTAGAAACAAAAGCTTTTTAAATTTAGTTAAATTTTGGTCGAAAACATTTCTAATGCTCTAATTTACCAAATGACGTAAGTTAATATTTAGAAAACGAGTTTTTTTTAGATGTTTTACTTCGACTGCTAATATGCATTTAAAAGTATGTGAATAGTGATTATTTTTTTTTTTAATGATAAGTTGTGCGATCGAGCGCTAATGCTGACCACGCAAATGATTTTATTTCTTGACACGATTGTTTATATGTTTTGATGATTTAAACATTTCAGAAAATGTGTTGAATGTAGAAACGCTAAGCTAAACTTAAACTAGGAAAAAAGTTTAAAAAACTAACAATAAAAAAATTTTAAAAAGGTTTTCAACTTTTTTATTTGTAAAAATAGGAAAAAAATAAATAAACAAAATGCACCTGCAATTTAAATAAAATAAACTGCCAACAAGCCATTTAATTTAATTTTAATTTGAGCATTACAACTCTATTAACAAGGGCTTCACGTAACAAATTTAAAAATGATTAAAAATGATTTTAACTCATTCGATCCTATCGTAATAAGAAAAAAAAAAAAAATTTTCAAAAAATAAAATGTTTGTTTAAAAGATTTAAAAAAAACTGAAGTTTAATTATAAAAATTAATCGTTTAAACATTACAAAATGTTTCAAAACTTTTCCATTAATCAACAAAATACATGTTTATATAAGTAAATAAAATTATTTTATATTCTTGTATAATTCACATAAAATGTGTAAAAACTAGTAATCACAAAAGGTTTTGAACTTATTTATAAATTATAGAAACTTAAAAAAAAATATTTCTAAAATTAATGATTGAAAAGATTTTTAAGACGACATGGGAAAATAGTTTCAAAAGTTTAGATTTATTATGAAAAATACATGCCTACATAAAAAAAATGTATATAAAACATTTTTTATTACAATCATAAAATTTTTTAAATGAGAATGTTTAATTTTCAATGCGAGGTCAGTAGTTAAACATTATCAGTAAAAATATAAAAAATTGAAGACTAAGTATGAGTGCGTGTGTAAGAGTAAGTATAAGTGTATGTTGTCAGAGTGTGATCGCACACCATTTCTGTCCAAACCTGCTGCAATTATAAATATTCCATTAATGAGCATGTTTCACATGACAAAAGCGATCGCTCCCACTTCATGCCAACGCCTGATATGTATATATTTATTATTTTTTTATTTTTATATATATTTGTGTATATATTTTTTATAATTTCGCTTCATTTGAGATCAAAAATGACAATTTTTTGATGCGATTTGAAAAACCTTTTGAAATGTTGAAAGGTCTTGTGGCACCCCTTAAAATATTTTTTTATTCAAAAAATTTTTAATTTTCAATGTGAGGTCAGTAGTGAAACATAGTTAGATCAACAACCTTGCGATAATTATTAGCAGAAAGCAACTGAGTTTTATTTGTGCTATAGTTGATCAGCCAATGTGAAGCTCGTGGTGATACAGAAAAAAAGATCACATTTAAGATTGGCTGCCTTTTCTAGCTAATCAAAAAGTGACAACCTTTTGTTAAGAATGAAGTATATAATTGTGTCATCAGTAAATAAATCTCATGAATAATGAATTAAAAAGGAATGGTTCAATAATTATAAAAATATTTCTAGAATCATCATATGAAAAAGACCAGCGTGTCAGACTTAATTGAAAGTATTTGATATGTCAAGCGCCTTTGCCTCACAAGTCATGAGTAGAACAAGGAACTCAAAATTTGTATTGATTGTCAGGAGTAAGTTGTTAGGCTCAAGGTGAGATATTAGAAATTTGCTAATTAAAGTATCAAAGACCTTGCTAACAACTGTATGAAGGCTGTTTGGGCCATATTTAGATGGATCAGACCAATATCTATAGTTTTTGAAAATTGAAACCACAGATGCTATTTTCCAGTAGGTCAGAAAATCAGATCCAAATTAGCATTTGTTAAATAGTTTAAAGAGCAATAAAAAGAATTCTAAAAAGCAATGTTAATAGAATGTTTGTAAAATAGTGACATCACATGTCTTACAAAAGTAATTACATCATGTATATAATAGTAAATAAAATCACATATTACATAGTATTTATATGAAAGGAATTAAAGCATATGCTCCAGACATGTCATGACAGAAATGTTGTCTGGGCCACTTGCTGTAAAAGAGTTTAAACATCATTATCTTTATTGGTTTAGCATTCTTATTGTTTGCATGGAGTTGACATTTCTCATAATGCTAAAAAGTGAGAAACAACTAATTTAAATGTTTAAGAATGAAATATTTGTTTTTCTTCAATGATTGGAAAATGTTTATTTGATTCATTACGGCGTGATTTGATTCAGGAAATTAAAAAAGAGACACAGTATTCAGCAGAGAGACAAAAGACATCAGCCCAAGTACCATTAAGGTTGTAGTGCAAATTACAATGATAGGGTGAATCTGATTTAGAAGAAATACAAGATAAAAGTTTTAGTGAGATCATAGTATGATCTGAACCATCTAAAGAAGAACAAGGAATAACTGAACGCAAGCTAGAGGCAAAGTCAAAACATGAATTAAAGAGCGAAGTTAAATGATTAGGTTTGTCTGGAAAACAATGAAAATTATAGATTGAGAAAGATAAATATTTTGAGCTTTAGATCCAGCAAGGTCAGTGTTAATAGAATCAAACCACATTTAGAATGATGATGCATTAAAGTCACCAATTACTGCAATATTGACTGAGGGATAAAAAAAAAGAGCATAGTCAATTTGATTAGAAACAACATTGTAAAGTGTACAATCTTGGGAAGAAGGAGTTCAGTATTAAACAAAAAGAAAGGCAATTCATTGATGAGGATCAAAAGTACATGAAAGAAATAACAGAAGATTTAAACCTAGTTTTGCCACACATATGTGAATTTATACATAAATCTTTGTAAATTAAAGGATATTAACTGTCAAGAATTTGAAGATGAAATATCCAAGTTTAATTATAGAATGTATAGAATAATATTTTTAGGTATATGATGTTTTGTTCTTGTGTCAATTATTGATAATTCATGACACCTTAAGCAAAAACTTATGGAGCTGCTTCATTCCTTCTAATCAATCCAAAATTTTAGCAAAGGTTATTTTATGTACTTCAACATTGCACATCAAATGGAAATCTTAACATAATATTTTAACATTTTACTGCAACATTTTAATGGAAAAACTGTAGCATTATTCTAAAGATAAGAAAAAATAATTTAAAATAATATATGTTTTTATAATTATAATTTAAAATAACATATGTTTTTATAATTATTATTTAAAATAACATATGTTTTTATAATTATTGTTTAAAATAACATATGTTTTTATAATTAGATTAACTTAACAAGAATTGTTATAATTAGTATTATATCCCTTTTTTATTTCCACTTTTTAATCATGTTTTTTTTTATTAGATACAAATAATAGTGAAAAAGAGAGTTTGTTTATACAAAAGCTTCAACAATGCTGTGTTCTATTTGATTTTGTTGTCGATCCATTATCTGACCTTAAATGGAAGGAAGTCAAACGGGCTGCACTTAATGAGATTGTGGATTACCTTACTCATAATAAAAATGTTATTACTGAGCCAGTGTACCCAGAAGCATGCAATATGGTACAAGTTCTTTGAAAATTTATTTAAAAACAGTATTTTTTTAACTTTTTATATATATAAAATAAATATGCAATATATATTTATGCATATAATTAATTTTTAAAATACTGGTTTTAATACAGACTGTTTTTTAAACAAACAAGTAAAATAATAGCAATACTAAAAACTTTTTCTTTCTTTCTGTGGTGTTTCTTGCCAGTGCTCAGACCTTTAGTTAATGTATGTACTGAAGCTTCCCTTATATGGCCTTATACAACTATTCATGCATTTATATAAAGAATAGTTGTAAAATGTTTTTAGTTTTCTGTAAATGTATTTCGTGCTTTACCTCCTTCTATGAATCCTGCTGGAGCAGAGTTTGATCCTGAAGAAGATGAGCCGACCTTGGAAGCTGCTTGGCCTCATTTACAGGTATTCAATTAAATTTTTGTACCTTTGTTTCTTTTTAATTTACATTTTCTTTTTGATAAAAGATTTTATTTTATTACACAAAACAATTTTTCAAGTTGATTGCCTTTTTGTTATTTCATTTTTCTTGGTGGTTGATTTTAATTTTCCATAAACAACGAAAAATCTTTTAACTACAAACATAAATAGTTAAACTATCTTAGACTGCAGCCATAAAGGAATTTATATAAGGCTGAACTTACACTTTTTTGACAATTTATGAAGTGCTCATAAAGCACAAACAAATTTTAATGCTTCATACTTTTTTTTTTTAATCCACGATTTTGATATTCAAGTTCATGAAATTTTGCAATATTTTTATTTTAGCAAAAATTTTCTGTTCATATTTTTGTATTGTTGTATAAATGTTTGAGTTTTTTTATTGTATAAATGTTTAATTCTCATAATTATGTCAATTATAGTTAATTCTAATAATTGATTATGTTAATTATGTTTAATTCCAATAATTGATTAAATGTTAAATTTATGCTAATTGTAAAAACAATCATAAAATCATAAAATTAAAATATTTTTAAAGTAAATTTTGACATTGCTGCTCCACAACCAATTTAACTAATTCAACAACAGTATTATTATTTTTTTCTGAGATGATTTATTAATAAATGTAATATGTAAAAATTAATCTTTTAATCTACCACATATCGTTTGATTTAGATTGTTTATGAATTTTTTTTACGCTTTTTGGAATCCACAGATTTTCAACCAAATATTGCAAAAAAATATATTGATCAACGCTTTCTTATAAATGTAAGTATTTTAATTTTAAATTATAATATTTCTACTAAACAATTTTAAATTTTTCAATAGTAACAGTTCGAAATGACAATAAGAATCATAAAAAATACCAACTTCTATTTTGTACCTTGTTTTATGACTTGTATTAAAAATACAAAACACAGGTTGTCTAGGTTACTATTATGCTTTTGTTGTGCAATACAAATGTGCAACTTTTATGAAACGTAAAAAAAATAAAAATTTACCAAAACATATTTAAGTTTACACTGCACTTAGAAATTTTGCACATCTTAAGTTTTAAAATGTACATTTTAGTTTAGATTAGTTTTTTTTACAAAAAGAAAAGAAGACTAAAAACAAATTTTTTTCATGTGTAATATAATCTTCATACATAGATATTGTCTGCTCAAATTCAAACACTCAGTTGATGTATGTACTAAAGCTTTATGGTTATTTCAGTATGGTTTGTTAATGAACGTTTTTGCAAATATAGCAAAAGATTAGGGCAGACAGTATAGAAATATGAAGCAAATCTGTTAAGACAAATGAAAGTTCTTTTTTAATTATTCTTTTTCTTTTTTTTAAAAAACTGTTTAAATCAGTTTTAATGTAATCTTCATAATACAGGCATGTATAAGTTTATATTGGCATTTATATTAGACTCTTTATTGGAGCACATCTCAATGCTTTAAAACAAATTATACATAAATGTATAATCTGTTCACATATTCTCAGGTTCTAAAATAATCATAAAAAATATAATTTTAACCAATTAAAAACTTTGTTGAATCAGTTAAACAAAGTTTTTAATTGGTTAAACAATGTAACCCACTGTTGATAAATTCTGCTGTCAAGTGTCAAGTTTCAATTGTTCAGCAGCCTTTTTGAGTTCTGTAATAATGCAAAATAATGTATTTATGCAATAATGAAAGTGATTGTATACTACTTACTAAAGTCTAAGAAAAAAAAAAAAATAATAGATCGATCAATGTAATGAAATAATGTGGAAATAGTAATGTGACTGTGTCTGCCTATTAATCTTTATTGGAAAAAATTTTGGATTTTCATTTTATTTAATTTGAAAATAAAATAAATTGATTGTATATATTGACTTTTATATTTGACTAAAATATATTTCATGTCTTAGATATTGAATTTGTTTGACAGTGAAGATCCACGTGAACGTGACTTTTTGAAAACAATACTTCATCGAATATATGGCAAGTTTCTCAATTTGAGGGCTTACATTAGGAAACAAATAAACAATTTATTTTATAGGTGATTTTTAAAAAATTTCTTTTTTTGAGTGTTGATAATGTTTGTTTACATGTATTTGAAATAACTTAACAAGTTAAACAGTCAACTCTCTACTAACTCTAACAAAACAGTCTGTCTCTACTAACTCTAACAAAACAGGCTGTCTCTACTAACTCTTACAAAACAGGCTGTCTCTACTAACTCTAACAAAACAGGCTGTCTCTACTAACTCTGTCTAACTTAGCAAAGCTTTTTCAAAATTTTATTGTCTTAATAATGCTTGTTATAAAACTTTTCGCTTTTGGCTTTAATTGAGCACTTTTGGCTTTAACATGAGCACTTTTGGCTTTAACATGAGTTTTTTTGGCTTTAATATGAGCAATTTTGGCTTTAACATAAGTACTTTAGTTAATTTTTCAAAACAAGCATCTGGTACAAAAATAGTTTATAAAAATTTTATAATTTTATGACATATTTACCAAAATATAGTTTTTTGAGCTAAGTCAAGTCATATGGCTTAATCAAGCAATTTATTACTAAAACAAGCTTAATCAAGTTTGACTTAATTAAGTCAAACCTGAATAAGTTGTTTTAGTAATAAATTGCTATTTTGATTACGGCATTGATTATACTGTGGTTATACTTAATAAAGTCAGTTTCAATATACAACAAATATATTATCTGTAGATTTATACTTGCTCAAGTAACAGCAAATATATTACTTGTAGATTTATGCTTAAGTAACCAGTTAAGTAATTTGCTTTGTACCATGTACAAAGTAATAGTAGAAGTTATTCATTATATCTAAATGAATCTAAAACTTGTTTTAAATGTCATAGCATTTTTTTGTTGATACAATTAGATTTATATATGAAACTGAACACCATAATGGCATAGCAGAGTTGTTAGAAGTTTTAGGAAGGTGAGTTTTTTAATTTTTTTTTACTTGTCGTTTTTTACTTTGTTAGATAGCATTTATTTATATACTGGTTTTTGATATTCAATGATCTAGTTTATAAAGTTTTTTGATTTTGTACAGAACATTGATATTTATTTTTATGTTTTTATATTTTATTTTTATGTTTTCTTGGTTTATGTGTAATATTCAACCGCTTTTTCGAGAATAAGATTAAGCACATAGTTTACTAAAAGTAGTAGGGTATGGTAGGTTTATGTACACATAAGCAGCAATTAATATGTTGTTTCCCTAGATGTCACATTTAATAAAACTTCAAAAAATGTAAACTCAAGTATTTTGTGCTTGAAATTAAACTATGAAATTTTTATTTAAATGTAAAATTAAATTATTTGCCAATTTAAAAAAAAAAATATATATATATATATATATATATATATATATATATATATATATATATATATATATATATATATATATATATATATATATATATATATGATATTATCTACCATACTAATGTTTTATTTATTTGCAACTAATCAAATACTGTTCAATACAACACTAACATTTTGTTTGAAACTAATCAAATGTGTAAAAAAATAAAACCAAAGTTTTGATTAAAGTTTTGTTTAGACTTGATATTTTCATTATAATAATTTTATAAATTTTTTTATGTCTATAAGACTAAACAGTTAACAATAAAGTTATCATAAAGTTCTATTACAAATTGCTTAAAGACTACAAAAAGTTGTTACAAAAATTTTTGAACACACCAAACAATCTGTGTGAAATTAAAAACTGCAAAAAATTAATACAAGAACTTGAATGAAAAGTAAAATCAATCAAAATCAAACTAATAATGTTATCAATAGAAAACATTGCATTGGCTTGATTCTCTGAGTCATCACAAACAACTCAGCTAATTGTAAAGCAGCATAAAAGATAATAATAAAATCATTTTTTTAAATGGTTTGCAGTGCATGTTTGTCCCCACTGCCTAGATGTTTACTAAAATATGTAAATTAATTTGGATTTCTTTAATTTTAACATGTCTGATTGTTGTTGTAAAGTTTATGAAGATATGATGGCTCATAAACTATGTTAAAGAAATATTTTCCTAATAAATTTTTACTCCATTGAACTGAGGCAAACTTTCGTGGCTCAATGTTTAGTAGGTCTTAAAAATGCCTGCAGGAAACAACGCTGAGGAAATGATGAAGAGAAAAAAATAATGGGTAATGCAACAGGAGAAATTTTGTTATAATAAATTTTTACAGTAAAAAAAAAAAAAAAGTTTGGAAATAAGTTTTTACAGAAAAGTTTTATTTCTCTTTACTTCTAAACTTCTACAATCCAAAAATTTATTAATAACTTTTCAAATATATCAAAACTAAATGTTTTTTAATTATTCATTTGCAAGAAAACAGACTATTTTTTAGATTAAGAGAATGTGAACGTGGCTCAGCATTGCTAGTTGTACAATTCATTTGTTAGAAAACAGGCTTTTTTTGCGCTAGAAAAGAAGGTACTTTTCTAGCGCATTGGTTATTATTATATTGGTTGTACAATTTTTTATTTGGTGTACCAAAGCATCAAAGATTTGATATATGCAAAGTTAGCCATAATGATATTCTCTTAAAAAGAAGTGGATTGCATTGAAAAGATTATAAAATAGGTTAAATCAAATGATGATATGAATTATACATAAGAAGACTCAGTATTTAAAAAGTCTGAAAACCTAGATTCTCCAGATGATTAGTTTTTGAAAAAAATTATTAAAAACTCATTGGTGTAATTTAATAAGATTATCACCCTCATCTTAAAAAATGTAGAAGAGTATAAAATTGTTCATCAAGTTGTTTTTTTCCATTTTTGAATTTTGTATTTGTACAATCAATTAATTAATAATAGTAAATAAATTATTATTAAACCTTTTTTTTTACAATACTGTCAATTATTAACATATTAGAAAAATATATATTAATAACATTTGAAGAGTTAATTTTCGAAACACGGTATGAGCAATTTTGTTTTTATGTGCTGCTCTAAATATTGTTTAATTTTAAAAAAAATGTAATTTGCGTATGAAAGTGGAATTAATTAATATTTATGAGTTTATTTATAATTAATAAATTTTTAAAGTTGCTTTTTTATGTAACTATTTGTTATTATTATTTGTTTTTTAAATTACTTAAAATTTTTTTTTTAATTGGTACATAAAAATAAAATACCTCATACCGCATTTTAAAAATAAACTTTTCATTTGTTAAACAATAGTTATAATAATATATACTTTTCTATTGTCAAAAAAGGCGCTAATTATAAGTCAAAAATAGATTTTATTACAGATACCTAACGTTTTATATTTATGGCTGAAATTTGATGTGCACTTCTAAAATTATCTGTTATCTATAAAATTATACTGTTATTAATGGAAATTTAACTTGAAAATTTAGTTAGGTTTTTTTTTTAATTATTGGAAGTAGATGCAAACATTAAACTGTATCTATTTCAAACTTAAGCTCTGATTGGTTGATTAGGAACAAATTGAGACCAATATTTTTACTGTATAGCCTCACATAAAAAGCAACTGCATCATTTTAAAATTCAAATTGAATATACTCTAAAACCTGTTCTTTTCAGTCCTTGAAATTCATATTTGTATCCAAGTTTGAAGATTTACTTACAATATTTGTAAAAAAAAAATTTGCGTTTTATTCGAAACAAATATTTTAAAAGTTTTATTATAGTTGCTTTAACTTTTTTTCTTAAAATTTTTTTAGCATTATCAATGGTTTTGCACTACCTTTAAAAGAAGAACACAAAATGTTTTTACTAAAGGTTCTTCTACCTCTGCACAAGGTTAAAGCTTTAAGCATGCACCATCCGCAATTAGCATATTGTGTTGTTCAATTTCTAGAGAAAGATCCTACTTTAACTGAGCCTGTATGTTTTAAAATATTTTAAAATTTAAATTTTTTATATTTAACTAAACTAGTTTATTTATTTTGGAAAGTGTATATAGATATTTTTGTATATATTAACATTTTTTTTTCAATTTTTATATAGTTTCTTAATATAAAAAAAGGAGGAAAAAAAGAAGAAAAATGAAAACAACAATTTTTGTAAATTTTTTTTTTTGTTGTTTATTTTAATTTAATCATAAGAATAGTTTTAAAAAATTCAAATAAATTCAAAGTTCTGGTATGCGATAAAAGATTAAATTGCAAATGTGCCTATGGTTACATCACATAAAAAAGTATCAACCTCATTCAAAAAATATATTTTTGTATCACCTCATTCAAAAAAAAATTTTTTGCACACCTAACAAGGTGTTACATAGTTACTTATTAAAACATTAAAATGTTGCGTTTCAAAATCTATTGTTTGTTTAGTTATTTGTAAAACAAATTTAAAAAGAATTAACTTATATTCTAAAATCATGATATTATTAGATTCTATTCTAAAATCGCAATACGCAATATTATGTTTATTTCTTTTTATTGTGACTAATACAGAAATTTTTAAAAATAATTATAAATAAATTCTTATAACTTAATAATTTTTATTTATATATTTAAAGCTTGTATTTTTAGATTTTTGAAGTGAAAGTTCTCTGTTGTTTCATAAAACCCTTTAACCTCTCTATAACTGCCTGTTTCTATCCTTTTAACTGGATATTTGCTAGGTTTCATAGCATAATGAAATACTAATTTCCTAGCTTGTTTATATAATAATTAATATAGAGCTTTTTATTTTAACATTGTCTCCTCATCTTTATTAAATACTTGTGAAACAGTATACTTAGTTGTAAACCTTAACTTTGTCTAAAGTAATAATTTTTTTTTTTAATTCTATATTCTGTTATGTAAAGTATTGTGTTTTATATTATAAGTATTAGCTGTATATTATAAGTATTAGCTGCTTCATTCTTCTTCATTAAGTCATTCGCAGCTTGGAGAACACCATTAATAATATCTTCTTTTTTGATTTCTATTTTTCTTTTCTTTTTTTTTTCTTGTAATTTTGAGCCATTTTTATCTTGCAACTGTTAAAAAGCAATTTTTTCTTGCTGAAAGATTTAAATCTGAAGTTTAAATTAATTTTGTTATACCAAGGATACAAGGTGATGGTGGAAGTGTTGGTATTTGGGGCTGCTTTAATGGAGTAGGTGTGTGTGAGATTTATACAGGCTAAATTTACAGCCAATTTGATTGACTCAGCTAATATGATTGCCAGATTTGAAATTAATGGAATCTATTTTTGTTTAAATTGACAAAAAATTATTTAAGGTTTGAATAAGATCCATAAATAGCTTAAAGCAAAAAAACAGATATCATTTGAAGAATTTCAAAACCAAAGTTTTTGATAAGGTTTTTACAAAATTGTATGTTTTATTGTTATCACAAGATGAGTTTAAATAAAAGTTAAACTAATGTTGAATCTTGATGACAATAAAATATATATATATATATATATATATATATATATATATATATATATATATATATATATATATATATATATATACACATATATATATATATATATATATATATATATATATATATATATATATATATATATATATATATATATATATATATACATAAGTAAAAGTTTTGAATGTTTTGAAAAAAAAAAAATTGACATGTAATCTTTTTTCAATTTCTAAAACTAAAATTTCATGCAGATGTAAAAAGTAAAAATGTAAAAAGTAGTGTTGTTGTCTATCGTCTTGACAACGATAAGTCCACTAGTCAAAAATTGAAATTAGTCGACTTTCAAAGTCAAAAAAGATATAAGGATTTATTTAAGTACAAGATCTATAGTCAATTAAATAACTGACTATAGATTTTGTTACTAATCTACTAAAAATCAATTTAATCAAGTAATAATTGCAAAATCTATATATCTTTTTATTCAATTTTTATCTTTTTATTCAATTTAAATTTTTCAATTTTCAACTTTTTGTTCATTTAATAAGAATAGCACGTACTGTTGTAACTATTAAATTTTTTTTGTTTACTCTCATAAAGTTTTATCCAATTCATAACATGCTTGCAATATTTATCAATAAAACTTTTTCTTATGTGTTTCATTAATTTTTTTTTTAAAGTTTACACAATGCATGTGAGTTTCATAAATACTTTTATACAGGGCTATTTCAAGCTGGCTTGGGGCCTTTAAGCAAAATTAAATTATGAAGCACCAAAATCTAAATGTCGTCTATACAACATTATAAATATGATTGTATAAGCTTTTTGATATTTAGCATATATTTTAGGCAGTCCTAATTCATTGGGGTCTGGGAATAAATTATTTTGTGGTTGGAATGGCCCTGCACTCATTTTGTTTTGCTCCATTATTTTTTAGATGATGCAATAAAAAAAAAAGAAATGTTAAAAATTATAAAATGAATACAAATTACTTTTTTATTTTAATTACAATTTTTTTTCAAAGTTCTGAATTTTCATATTTTGAAAATTCAGTTGACTTTAGAATATATGTTAGTTGATTGACTAAATCGACTTATATATATTAGGGGATGCAATTTTATCTTGAAACAATAACATATATATATATATATATATATATATATATATATATATATATATATATATATATATATATAGTGGCCCCCTCATCTTTAATCATTAATCTCCCTCACCTTATCTTAGGGAGGTAAACAGTTTTTTTTAATATATTAGTCAATTTAGTCTAATTGTTTAAAAGTTGTTACAACACTAGTAAAAAGAACTAAAATGAAAATGTAAAAGATTAAATTTTGTCTGTTTAAAAAGTTATGGCAAACTCAAGTTGAATAATTAGGATGAAAAAAACAAAACACTATTAGAGTTTTTCAGTGTTCTCATAAAAATGTTCTTAACAAAAAAAGGTTATTAATCTGTAGCTTTGAAAACTGGTATTTAATATTAGGGATGAACAGTTTACAATTTAATACATTAAACATTTTGGTCAGAGTCAAGATTACACTGGAAGAATTAAAAATAAACTGGAAGAGTCAAGAAATGGGAATTATTATTTATTGTGATTAATAATTATTTCAAGAAAAAAGATTTTAAAAAATTTTAAAAACAGTTGAAAGTTTCTTGAGATAAAATTTATATGTTTTACTATATATCGTTTTTTAAAATGTTATGTATAAAATTGTATTTCTAATCACTAATAAATTAATGAAAAGTTGCAAATTAGCTTATTTTAAATATTTGTGATATTTAGATAAAAATTAAAGGGAGACTCTTTCTGCTAAGAAAGTTAAGGCAAAGAAATTTTAATGCCGAAGCAAATTAACAGTGCAAGAAATGAAAAGAAAAATTTAACTGATATAATAAAAAAGATTTAATTGATATTTAAAAGATATTGATATATGTGTGTGCGTGTATATTTAAATATATTATGTGTATACAAATATTTTTGTGTACTTTGCCTCACATGAAATGTTGTACTGAAATATAAAAAAGATTTATTATGACAATTTCAGTTTTAATTTTTCTAATTTTTAGTGCATTATGGGATTAATCAAATTTTGGCCTAAAGTTCATAGCACAAAAGAGGTATAATTAATAATTTTAATTTATTTTAAAGTTTAAATGTAAAGGTCAAAGTTAACTTTATTTTATTTTTTAACAAATAATAATCAATAATTTAAAATTTTATCACTAACATAAGAAAATAATTTTTTCAATTTTTTTTTTTTTTTAATGTGTAAAAAATATTTGTTCCAAGTTGTAAAGAAAAAAAAATCCTTTTTTATTTACATAAACATAGTATCAAATAAAGTGCACACTTGTACTTAATTTTTATTAAAAATGTCTCTATATATCAGTGCAATGATAATCTCAAAAAATTAAAAAAATTAAAGATCAAATTTATCAAAATATGCAATATGATTAGTTTTTTATTATTATTGTTATTGATTTCAATAAAGTTTCAACATTATTGTATTGTATTGTATAAAAAATTTTTGGATGTTGATTAACTTGCATACAGATGCATTAACATCATACCGATGCAATAATTTTTCAATTAAAATTTTTTTTTTGTTTATTTTCTTTAAATCATATTTCTTATCAATAAGCTTATGAGAACAGGAAGAAAGAAGAAAATTAACAATAAGCTTATGAGAAGAAAGTTCAAAATTAAATAAATTTTTTTTTAAATGATTATTAAATGAGTTTACTAGTAAATAAATACTAAGTGTTTTGAAATTGTTTCAATAGTAAAACAAAATGATTAACATCTTGCTTTATCATCAAAACCTATTGTTGTTTCTAATGTCTAATAACAAATCTGAAACTAAAATATACCTATACAGCTAAAACAACTTAAAAGATACCTATAAACTGCTGCAAATGTTGTTGTACATGGTAAAAGATACCTATAAACTGCTGCAAATGTTGTTGTACATGGTAAAAGATACCTATAAACTGCTGCAAATGTTGTTGTACATGGTAAAAGAGACTAATTAAACAAATGATTAAAAATCAAAATGCAACAACTTTATAAAAGAATAGTTCTGAAGTTGTAAGAATGTTACTAAAACAAGCATTATTGTTTCTAATTGATGTGAATTTATTCAATGATTATTAAAATCAAATGAGATTTTCACAATGTCTATAATGATATTTACATCTTCAGGTCTATCAAGTTTAACATTACATTTAAAATGAACAAGTAAACATATATAAACAATTACACATATTTATTTATGTAACCATATTTAAATATTATACAAATATTTTTATTGGTACACATATAAACAGTTATACATATTTTTATGACCACAGATATTCAAACAATTATTCATATATCTATTTGAGTTAACATAAATAAACAAGTGTACATATACAAATGTTTATATAGGCACACAAATATATATAATTAGGCATATATTTATATAACTGCATATGTTTAAACAATCAAACGTATATCTATATGAGTTCAGTGAAATATTATTTTATGACAGTTATGAGAATTATTAGTGATACAAATTATTTTAGCTTATGTAATGTATTTTTATACTTAGGTTATGTTTTTAAACGAATTAGAAGAAATTTTAGACGTAATTGAGCCTAATGAATTTGTTAAAATAGTTGAACCTTTATTTAAAAAGTTGGGTCAATGTGTTTCAAGCCAACACTTTCAGGTGTATACTTTTATTTTTTATCTTCTTTTACTAATATTTTATATATTCAAGACCATACTTCAAGTAATGCATATTTTAAATGTTAAAAATGTAAAAATGTTTTTTTTTCATGTTTAATGTTTAGCTTTATTATTTATCTTTAATATTTGTCTTTTATTATGTTATTTGGTTTTTATCTATTCAAAAAAATTTAGTGCTATATAAAAAAACTTTTTTTGTATATTTTTCAAAGTTTTATTAGTTAAAAAAACTATTTACTGTTTGTTTTATTTTTGGTGAAGGTTGCTGAGCGAGCATTGTATTATTGGAATAATGAATATATCATGAGTCTGGTCAGCGATAATGCAACAAAAGCTATACCAATAATTTTTCCGTATCTATATAGAAATTCTAAAACTCATTGGAACAAGTATGTTATTTTAACTCAAGTATTTTTACATAAACATATATTTAATAAAATAAAAAAGTGTTTCTATTCTATTTACTGTTTCAACTTCCCAAGTATAAAAGTTCAAAGTATAACCTCCTAAGTTTGAAGTATAACCTCCACAAGATTTGAAAGTTTGCAATATAGTAAACTTTGAAATCTCAGATGACATAACTGTTATAGTCTTTCAAAAGTGTTCTCCCAAGTTGTCATCTATACTTTCGAAACTATTTAACAACTGCTGATCAGAGTCTTATCAGAGCGATCTGACTACTATCCTATAAGTCTTCTTACTATCATAAGCAAGGTTTTTGAATCTTTAATTAACAAACACTCTTGAATCTAATAACTTACTTCTTGATCATTAATATGGATTTCAATTTGTTCTACTGCTGATTTGTTAACAATAATAACCAATAGGTTTTATTGTGCATTAGATAGATGGGGAGGGACATTGTAAAAGCATTTGTTCATTGACAAAATAAATGGATTTAATTAAATGCAGTAATGACAAATAAACTTTAGAAAGTTAAGATGGTTAAAATGTAGAAAAGTGGAAATGTTAAAAAGTCTATGAAACCTTATATAATTATCTATGAAACATTATTATACACCTATGAAATCTTATATAAGCATGTATGAAACTTTATATTATACACCTATGAAACTTTATATTATACACCTATGAAACTTTATATAAGCATCTATGAAACTTTATATAACCATCTATGAAACTTTATATGAAACTTTATATAAGCATCTATGAAACTTTATATTATACACCTATGAAACTTTACATAAGCATCTATGAAACTTTATATAACCATCTATGAAATTTAGTTAAATTAGTGAAAACATGTTTAAAAATAAATGCATTTAGTTTAGGAAAAGATTTTTTCAAAACTTCTTGAATTATTGTATTTTTTATTATTTTAATTATTTTATGAAGTTTGTTAATAAAAAAGCTGGTCCATGGATCATTGTCCATAGACCATAGGTTGGGAACCCTGTCTTTTTAATTTTGTTTACTTTTACAAAAAAAAAAATACTTTAGAGTACTTTTTGTTTGGACTATAAGGTTAAAGTAAATTCAAAATATTTTTTGTGAGGACCACAAGGTAAATGTAAATTCAAAATATTTTTTGAGTGGATTAAAGGTAAACGTAAATTCGAAATATTTTTTGAGTAGACCACAAGATAAACGTAAATTCAAATTCTTTTCTTAAAACAACAATAAAAGCATATTATGGAAATTTAAATCAGCTTTCTAATGACAATCAATTACAAATAGAATTATTTGTTAGAACTCACTACTCATTGGTTGTGAATTGTTGCCATGTAAATTATCACTTGTAAGTCTGTATTGCTGACATGGGTGAAAGAGACTGCTCGATATGTACATAATGTACACTATTTTATTCATAAATAGGCTTTGGCAACCAAAACTTTACCATGTTGTTTAAAAGCTGTATTTAAGTAATTATTAAAATTGGTATCATATAAAGTCTCTTAACGCTCGACTTTAAAAAAAACTTTTATTCTGACTTGGATGCTGAACACAATAAGTTATTGTTTTTTAATGATGTGTGATGGATGTCTGCTGGAAATTTTTTCAAAAGACTTTTCAAGCTTAGAAAAAAAAGTGACAGTCAAATGAAAAGTGCACAGGTAGAATATTTTGAGTTTGACAATTTTGAAATAACAACTGCTTATCTTGTGGACATTGTGTGGATTATTTATGCTGTTTCTCTAATATAAAAAATCTAGAGCATTTCTTTCCTTAACTAAAGGTCATTCATACAATATGTAAGGCACTCTCTTCAAGCTTTCTTAATTCTACTTTTACCATTTAATCCTGAAGTTGCTACTTCTCTACATGCTGATACCTAAATCACTTTAATCTTCTCTAATAAACCTTGTTTGATACAACGTTTTTTTCTTATCTGTCTATATAATTCTTAGCCATCTTCATGTTTTCCTTTTATATAAAACCTACAACTTTTTAAGTCTTCAGTTGACCATTTCCTAACTTTTTAACCCTACCCTCTATTTTAAAGTAACTCATAACTTATTAGTGGTTGCTTGCAACCTTGTTGGAAATTTAAAACTTTATAAATATATGCCAGTATTCAATAAATAGTAAATGTAAGTATAAAATTATAATATACAAAGTATTATAATTTTTTTTCTAACCTCGGCTATCAACTTCTGCTAAATTGATAAAAATAAAGTTTGCAAAAAATCTCACTTTTAGCCGGGGCCAAAGCTCTGGTCACTTTTTATCAATGCATTCTATTAAAACTAAAAATAGAAATGGACCCTATATCAATGCAGGTATTAGATGTCCTATATCAAAAACTAAACCAAACTTTCAGAAATAAATTGCTAGTAAGTGCTAGAATTCACATAAGAAGTGCTAGAATTGACTAGTTTTTGTATCTTATATAAACTAAATAAGATAAAATATTTTTGTGTCATTGTAAGTCTATTCAAAAATACATTAAATAAGATAAAAAATCAAATAATAAAAAAATACATAAATAAAGTGTATCGCCTAGTAATAAATTTTAAAAGCAAAGGGGTCAATGAAGGTTTTATGACATTTAATTTATGTAACGTAAAAAAATAAATAAATATAAATAAAAAAAGTTTCATTAAAACTACTTTACAGTCTATTTTTCAAAATGTCCTTTTTTTTTGTCTGTCAATATTGAAAATATTTCAACACGCTATTTTTTAAAGTAGTCTATTAAAAGTAAATATTAAGTTTTTGATTTTTTTTTTTTAATGCTTAAACAATATAGTTGAAAATCAAATAATATTGTAAAAATGAAAAAAAAAAGTATATAGTAGAAATAAGAAAAAAAAACAATATAGTAGAAATGAAAAAAAAAAGCATTATAATAGAATGGAAATATAGTCAAGATATACTTATTTTTGTGGGTATTTGTAAATATGAATTCTTTTTAAGATGGTCTTTCAAATGGAAAAAATACATTTTTTGTAATTTGTAATTCTTTTAAAAATTTTATTTAATAGTCATATAGACTGGGATATTATTACACGAGAAGAGTCATGGTTTAATTGAAGACAATTCGGACACAATTTGGAACTAACAATAGTTAGGCTGGTTAGTTAAAATTCTAAAATGTCACTGGTTTGAGCCAAAAATTATGTTTTTCATTTACAAAGCACATGTTTTGTTAATTTGGCTTGTAAATGCGAATACCACTTCTGATCAATACAATGTTAGAAATGATTTAAAACCTAATACATGCAAAATAAGTAAGCTAAAACTCATAACAGGTAAAAACATGGTAATTATATTATCGCAGATTGCCTTAGTTGGCAAAGTTACAAGAATGTACCAAATGACATTCTTGTAACTTATTAGCTCCATATGAAAAAATCAAGCTACTTTGAAAAACACCCAAAAAAGGGTATAACAAATGGTTTAAAAGGATACAACTTTTCTATCACAATTATGGCTATTATCTTGAACAATAAAAAACAAAATTTTATAAAAGCTTCTTTTTGTTTTTTATATGCCATTCTAAATGAATCTTTTCTACCAACCTAACTAGTATAAACTATTTGAATATTCAATAAAGAAACTAAAAAAGTTGTTTAAAGTTAAATACACCATATATTGCTAACATGCTTCATAAGTACAACGCTGCACATTTTAAAATTAAACCCTATGGTTTGTTTTTAAAATTATTTTGATTGACATCATTGGTTTTTTTTCCAAAAGTTTTAAATTTTAACACTATTTCTAGCATTAAATTTCTGTTTCAGTTTTATTGGTTAATGTTTTTTTTTTTTTTTTTTTTGTTAATAACTTTTTAAATTTTTATTTTTAAGTTTTGTGTCTGAATTTGTTTAAGTTCACTTTATTTTCTCTTTTCACTTCATTACTCTTTATATTCACTTTATTACAACTTTATAAGTAAGGGGGTCCAAAATTTTATATTTCTTGTTTAACCAGTTATTCTTAATTAATTTTTTGAGAAAAGTTCAAAAATCAATTCAGTTTTTGCTAATTTTTTATGGTTGATCTTCTACTTCCATTTTAAAAATTTAAAGATATAAAAAATAAAAGTCTTTACAAAAGTTTCTTTGCGTATAAAGTTACGCAACTTTTCTTTCAAATTTATACTATTCAAATTTTGATTGGATAAATTTAATTTTTAATTGTTGCGTTTTAGAAAAAAGAAGTTTTATCTGAAGTCTTTTTCTAAAAAAACGTTTTAAATAAGTAAAACGACAGATTGCTTCAAAAAAAAGTTTTATCTGAAGTCTCTTTCTAAACAAAACGTTTTAAGTAATCAAAAAGACAGATTGCTTCAAAATATCTTAATTTTATTTTTTTATTTATTTTTAATCGTTATTCAAGCTATCAAGAAGGCTATTCAAGATTTCTTTTTTTTTTTTTTTTTTTTTTTTCACTTTTTTTTAATGAAGTCAAGAATAAATCTTCTTTTGTGCAAGTCAGTAGAAGTCAGTTAAATTCTAAAGGTTTAACAACTCTAAAAATAAACAGGCTAAAGGAATACCGCTACCTAAAAGACTTTATAAAAAACAAACTGGGTGATCAAATTCTGAAATTTTCTGCTTTACTCTAAAACGCAGTGAGTAGCTAGTTAAAAAAAATTCTAGAAGCAGTTAATAAATATACCTCAAAGAGGTTGAATGATTGTATCATTCTTGCTAGAGAATTTTGGCAAAAGTTAGCCTCAGGACTTCAAAAAAGAGAAAATTATTATGTGTTTGGTTGATGATGGAATATGATTAGTATTAACTTTCTAATTAAGATGTTGCAGTTGGAAAGCTTTGGAAAAAACTTATTTTATTTCAACAGATGTATACTTAATTATTTAAACCATATAAAAAATGAAGGTTCGCGTAGTTAAAAAATATTTTGGAAAACTATTGTCCAATTATTTGTCCAAGAAGTTGAAACTATGGAATATAATTAAAACCAGCTACAAAAACGAATGGGTAACAATGGAAGAGCAGCAAACTTTACATCAGGTGTGCAAGATGAGTTCTATTTTAGTTTAATTAAAGTTACAAAGCAGCCCATTTAGCTGTGAATTAGAAATTATTGAAGTAGATAAAGATATGTTAAAATGAAAAAAAAGTTCAAAAAATGAGGTTTTTTATTTTAGGGATACAATGTAGGCCATTGTCGCAGAGGTCTATTCTGTTTAAATACATGATTGTTGGTATAAAAATGCAAACTTCCATATTATGTCTACCAAAGAACACGCTCATAACCTAGATGTTCTACATGGAAAGTTCCTGCAGCAATCTCTATCACATATGAATACTTTTATAGTTATTTTCCATTTTCAATAGTAAATAACAAACTGTATGAATTAATTTTATATATAATGCTTAATTTTTTTTTTTCACTTATAAATCTATTGATAAATTATATTATTGTATATTATTGATAAATTAAACAGAAAAAGATTTCTACTTTTCTACTTTTCTTATATTTAATAATAATAGTAGTTTCATCATTTTTTAACAATGCCTTTATTTGTCAATATATTCACTTTTATTAAAATCGAAGTAGAAGGCTAAATAATTAAAATGAAAAGAAAATGCTTATGATTTTCAGAATCAGCATGAAAATCTAATTAAGAAAAATTGGTTAAATCTAAAAAAAGATGATTATGCCCCCCCCCCCCCCTAAAAAATGCTTATGATTTTCAGAATCAGCATGAAAAACTAATTAAGAAAAATTGGTTAAATCTAAAAAAAGATGATTATGGACCCCCCCCCCCTATTATAAGATACACCCTTACACCCAAGATACTTTATATGATACACCCAATATAAATATAATCCACTCAATGAAATATAATGCAACCAATAAAGTATAATGCATCCAATAAAATATGATGCACCCAATAAAATATGATTTACCTAATAAAAGTTTTATTAATTTTCAGTAAAATTTACATATGAATTTTATTGTTTACAAAAATAATAGTTGTTTAATATATAATTATTATGTTTTTTGCTTTTGTTTTTTTAGAACTATTCATGGGTTAATATATAATGCCTTGAAACTTTTAATGGAAATGAACCAAAAATTGTTTGACCAATGTGCACAACAATATAATTTTCAAATAGAAAGGTTGCCTTTTTTATTAACTTTTTACTGTCTAAGTTATGTTTGCTGGAAATCAGTAATAAGCTTTAATTTTTTGAGATAAACTTTAATTTTGTTAAATAAATAATAACAAAAAAAAAAAAAAGATTTAAGATAATAATTATTATAGTAATTGATTTTATTTTAAGCTGTTTGACTTTTTTGCCCAAATAAGTTATACATAGTTTGACCATAGCAAAATAATTACAACAAATGCAAGTCTAAAGTTTAAAAAAATTATACATAATTTGACCATGGCAAAATAATTACAACAATTGCAAGTCTAAATTTTCTCATTTAATATAAATTAATAAAGTTGTGTTGATCCAAAAAAAAAAGTTACAATCGATAAAGTGGTTTTAATCTAAATGAAGTGCTCTAATAGTCTTGTACACAGCTAAATCTAGTAGTCTTGTACACAAATATTGTATTACATGTTAATACTATTGCTTTTCAAAATTTTCTTAATATTATGAAATAAAAATTATTATTTTATTAAATAAAAATTTTAATATTATAAAATAAAAGTTTTATTATTATAAAATAAAAATTTTAGTATTATAAAATAAAAAAGGTTATAGTATAATATCATTTGATTGGTGATTTATATTTGTTTAGAAAAGATATAACAATTAGTACAAGATATTATTACCACTAAAACATATAAATAAAAATTATTAGTCAATTATAATTATTTAGAAAAGATACAAATTCCATTGCTAATAAATTTCAATGTTATTAAAGACTAAAAAAAAAAGAATAAAAGATTATTAAAATTGTATTGATTTGAAAAATATAACACTATTGGTACCAGAGATCTATGTAACTTAACATTACAAAATAAAAAAGATTTAATATAAATAAAAAAATAAATTTAAGTTTCATAAAATTACATTTTACGCAATTTATGCAATTTATATTCATATTGAAAGAATGTAGTAAGATACAACAATACCAGCAGTAAGATATGCAGATGTAAGTACAACAATACCAATTTATTACAATAACTACAAAAATACAGTTTTTATTCCATTTTTTATTTAACTCCAATGCATAAACAATGGTTGTTTTTTTTTAATTTTATATGAACTTAAAATAAATTTTTATAAATAGCAAGTATATTTTTTATGTTTAAAATTTCGTAACAATGATTGTTTTTTTTTAAAAAATTTAATATGTTAAATGCATACAGTGTAACACTTAGAAACAAGCCCTGTGTATGTTTGTGCATAAAAACAAGCCCTGTGTATGTTTGTAACAAACTTTTTCTTTCTTTAGCGAAGAAAGAAAATTTAAAGAAAGAGAGTTTGCATGGCAAAGAATATTTGAACAGGCGATGGAAAATCCAATTGTATGATTTATATTTGTTTTTTTAAGGCTGGTTGTTTACGGAGTAAATATATAGTGTAATATAGTGTAATATCACATATTTTTTTATTAGTAAGTTTTTATAATTTTATGAACTCTTAATGAACTGAACTCTTAAAATTCCATAAATGACATTGTACCAAAATGATTAGTATAGGTAAAATCAAAGATTGAGTTGTGTAACTGATTTCACTTTTAAGTTGCAATTTTAGTCTAATTTAATGATTGTATATATAGTATTGTATTTTACTACTCTGTGTAGTTAAGGCAATTTTAAAATATTATAGCGTCTGTATGATATTTTGTTGACTACAATGTATTTCTGTTAAATATCATCTTTGTGAATAATGAAAAGACGAAAAAGTTAAAATGATAAATTTTGCAGTATCATAAAGTATAAATGTTTGTAGCAAAACAACTCAGATCGAAGGTTCTTTTTTTTTTTTTTAAAAAAAACTTATCCAAATTTGAATTGAAGATTTTAAATATATTTTTTAGGTGAAATGTACATTGTAGTTTAATAATATGTTCGATCGTTTAATGGAACGCGTTTATTGGAAGTTTTTCTTAATTATTAGCTCTTTTTCTGAATTCTGGTGTTTTTGTGAAAATTGATAGAAATATTCTATTTTGACAACTATATATAGTTAATAAAGTAAAACTAAAAGACTCCAAAATGGTGTTCTTTTGATTTAATATTAAGGGTAGTAAAAAAGTTTTAAGAATTTTATGTAAAAAAAAAAAGTTTCTTTAAATATTGAAAAAATCTGAAGCAAAAAAAATTATAACATCTAAAACACTTGTTTGGACATAATACGCTGATAAAATCATGCTAATTTTAAATAAAAGAATTCAAATAATTTGTAAATCGCCTTAACTACACGGAGTAGGTAAGGTATTCATATATATATATATATATATATATATATATATATATATATATATATATATATATATATATATATATATATATATATATATATTTTAGAGCTCAACACATTTAAAAATTGATTTCGAAGTACTGCAAGATTTACCAACTGTAGCTCGTCATCTTGAAAATTTACAACGAGAGAAACTTAAGGAAGCCATTGACATTGATTTATTGCATTTGGAGGTTTGTGTAATTTTGTTGCTCTATAATTAGATTTAGTTTTTAAAACATTAAATGATGCACTAGTTTGCTCACACAATCATTGTTCAGTTTTTAAAATTAAAGTCTAATGCAAATGCCATAGTGATGAAACCCCAACAACAACAAAAAGCTTATTGTAATAAATATTCTTTATATATATATACACTGTCTGTCCAAACCTTCAGTTGATGTATGTATTACTATTTTAAAAAGTACGCAAATTTAGGCAAAAAAATGTGTTTGTTCAGTAACTATCCAATAAAAATGTGTTTGTTCAGTAACTATCCAATAAAAATGTGTTTGTTCAGTAACTATCCAATAAAAATATTTCTATCAAAGTATGATTTATCAGAAGTTAATTTATCAATATGTAGCAATATGTAGCAATATGTAGCAATATGTAGCAATATGTAGAAGTTAATTTATCAATATGTAGCAATATGTAGATTTTTTGTCTAGAGAATTCTTTGTATATTGAGGCAATCCGTTCATGAAGCTAAAATTTTAGAATTTTATAGTTAATTTGTAAGATCAACAGTCAATTTAAAAACCAACGAGTCGAATTCATAGTGTACATTTTAATGGGCCAACAGCATCAACTCAATGGGTGGTAGATTAAACCTATCTGTTTTTTAAAATCTGTTCTTGTAAATCTGTTCTTATAAATTGTTTTAATAGCAATTTGTGATATGATGCTTTGTATTTTTATGTTAAAAAATAACTTGTTGTATCTATGTCCTTTATTCTAGTCCTTTTTTCATTTATAATTCAAATGTTTACCTATTGTAAGTGATAGATTTGCAAGGTTTAAGTCGTTC